GGCTGTGGCTACCAGGTGAAAAGGTCAAAGTGCTGGATTGAGATTCTTCACAGAAACAGGTGAACTAGCCTCGCCAGCAGGTCCGAGGGAGTCCACCCCCAGAGACGAGCATTGCCAGTGCAAAGGGGGACACTTGCTCCTTGTTTCCACAGGTCTTCAGAACTTTTAAATCCTTGCACACACTTTATTTCGTCGGTCACCGGACTGTCCTGTTTCACAGTTGAGAAGTGGATTGCCTGACTCACTCAGTTTGTACATAGCAAAACCTGTTCTCAACCAGTTGGTTTTATTTCTTAACTTCAAGTTCAGGGCTCTCTCCACGACATTCAGCTCCCCTCTATCTCTGGTATTCTAGTAAGTTCCAAGCAATTAACCCTCATAAATTCGAAGTAGTGACTTGGTGTGGATCTCGTCTCCGCCTGCAGATTCTTCTCTCTGTGCCTGGAGGTGCACCAGACCTGTGTGCCAGCTGGGCGGGGCCCCCCTCTGACCTTGTCCATCTGGCTGTTCTGTCTGCACCTGTGTCTGACCATGAGCCCTTGTAGACCCTGGGATCCTTAAGGACTTTGGAAAAGATATCTCAGTACTTGAGCTCAGAAACTGCTGGTTTCTTCCACTGTTTCCTTCCGCTAAAACCTTCCACCAATTCCCCTCCGAAAAGGGGGAAATTGTGCGGTCGGAAATAAAGGCAAAGCTGTCAGAGTCTGATGACTTTGGGTCTGAGTCTCAGCACCATGAATTATTAGCTGCCTGAACTCCTGAACGTCCACTAGCTCATCTCTTGAGTAGAAATTAAAAATAACTATGTTTTGATCTTGCGAGAGTTAAATAAGATAAAATATATTCCATGTTCAACATAGCGCCAGACATTCAGTAAACGCCTAATAAGTGGTAGTTATTTGGCCTGCCAAGGAATAGTCCAGACACTTCAGAGAGGCGAGAGGCTCCGCCCAGCAGGACCCCTTCCCCCTCCTGACACCCCAGCAACCTGTCCGTTCCCTAATTCGAGAGGTGCCTTTGGAGCCCCCTGCCAGTCCCCCTGCCCTGGGCTCGTTAGGAAGGGCAGAGGCCATACTACTTCACAGGGGAAACGCTTTCCAGAGCCTGCTGGCCCTGCACTGCCCGCCTTGGAAGGGGAGCTGGTTTCTAGCAGGTATCAGTTTGAGAGCCTGTCCTTCGAGGAAAGGGGGCCGGAAGCCAAAGCTCGAGAGACCTCAGTGGATGATGAGCGATCACACGTGACGGGCCGGAGGGTGCCTAGACACCTGAGCTGGAACGTTCTCATCTTTCACTGATGACACAGAAACACGGCATTTGTTTCCTGGAGAGCTGCCGGGAACTTAACCAAATAAGCGGGGACCACGTGGAACATTGGGTGGCCCAATGAAGTCCCAGTTAAAGTGGGACCAGCGCATCCCAGCCTGGGAAATTATGCTCAATGCGAACATTAGAGTTCATTTTAAAACCCGGTAAGATTGCACTAATTTGCTAGGTAGCATAAAAAATCTGATTATACATTTAGCAGCAAGGACTAGTGGAGTATTAGCGGATGATGACACTTAAATGACTGGTGGAAAGCACATGAATTATTTCTCAGGCAACGTGCCTCACCGAGTTCGCGCTGCTCCTGTGAGGAAACACGTTCGGTGCGGTCTTGCTGACCCAGACAAGTCCTCTCACGTTAGGGAGAGGGCAGGCTCTCCCGTAGCTTTCGCTCAAGACGAAGGCAGCCTTGGGAAAAGCGAGTGGGGGGTCCTGTGTACCTGTATCCATAAACTTTCCATTCTGATCATGGCATCGTTCCTGTGGCACTGACCTTCAGTGACACGCTCACCTGTTGGCTGGTTCACTCGAGGCCTGTCTTCCCCACTAGACGTGGGTTTCGGGAGGTTAGCGACCACATTTGTGTTCCCAGCACCCAGAAAGAGCCCCTGATACACTGTCAGGGCTGCTCCGTGAACGTGCAAAGGTGTGTTTGACCGGCCGGGCTGGGCTCCTGGGTGAGAAGACGCTGTGACAGTTTAGGAGACGGTATTATGTCTGCCCTCTGAACACTCGGAGAGTTTCGCCTGATGGATTTAAGGTTTATGAGGCCTCGTGTTTGCTTCCCAAGTCACTATTCATTTGTCATTTGTAGTGAAATTAATATAATTTTGCATATGGGGTCATTTACCCAGTAAAACGGTCATCAGGAGTCTCGGTGGTAGGTGGTGGTATAGTGTGTGTCTGTGGCACATTAACAACAACAAAAAAACATTAAGTAAAGAGAGAGAGAGATCACCTTCACTGCAGCCAGCCACCGAGAACCAGTCCGCTGCACTGCGGCTCCTGCCCCGAGCCATCCTCCGCAAGGTGTGCCTTCCCAGGCCCAAGTTTGCTGCAGTTAGTGGACGGCGGGGATCTTTTCCAGTTCTGGGCTTCAGTGAGCTGTGTGCCAGAGCCGGGAGCAAACCTGCTGGTGCAGAGGCTCAGCTCAGAGCAAGAGCTCCCGGCATCAGGCAGACTCGGGTGCACAGCCCAGCTCACCCTGCCAAGGCAGTGCACCCGCTTAACCTCCCTGAATCTCTCCTGGGAAATGGGGAGAGTGATACCCGCGCCCTGAAGTGCTTAGGGAGTCCAGATGAAGAGTGCTCAGCCCCGAGTCCAGCCAGGAATGAACACTCACAAAGTCAGCTCTCATTATTTCTCTCCCAGATGTTTTACATTTATCTATGCTCTAACCCTTTATATTGTCACCAGTAGAACTCAGATTATCCTCCTTGAAGCTGCAAAGGAAGTAGCTCACGATGGACAGCTGGCCATTTAATGTGTCAGAAGGCATCATTCGTGTGTCTTCAGTGCCTGGATAGACCACGTTCCCCCCAGTTTCGAGGTGGTTTTGAGAGGGGCCAGAGGCAGCCTCTCAGGGGCCCTCCTCAGACAAAGTCCTTCTGAGACTCCAGGTGCCTGTCCAGAGAGATGCTTTCTGGCCCAGGGCAGGGGTAACTCCTCTAGCCATTTCTTACGTGTTCTTTGGGAAAAGGCAGCATGTGTCTGAAGACAACTAGAGAACTGGAAGTAAAAGCCTATAATTAGAAAACTTCAGTTCAGCCAGGCTCCCTGGAATAGAGTATGATGTGGGGGATGGCGTCTAACTGAGGTGGCTTCACCCTTCACCTCTGCACGTGGGGGGAGGGGGGGTCCCTCCTTTCTCAAAGCACATGGGCTCGGCACACGCCGAGGCTGTGAGCGTGACTTTGTGGGCCTGCCCTGTCTCCTGCCTTGTGAGGTTCCCTTTTCTCCATGAACCTTCTGACTTTCTTCTCCCCTCTTCTCTCTCTCAATTGCTTTCCGCTTGAATCCTCCATAGGAACGCTTTGGGGTAAATATTGTTCTCAATTTGCTTTACAGGAAAGTCCACAGGAGTGGGTGGGAGGAGGGAGAAAGCATGGCTGGCGGTGAGGGAAGGAGTGGCTCATTGAGAAGGCATGGGAGTTTATATGCATGAGTTTATATGGTGAGTTGTCACTGAAACTCAAGGGAACACAAATTGGGAGTCCCCAAGCCTTCTTGGGAAGTGACCCTCCTTATTGGATTGTATGTGTATTTTGACTTATAGGGTGCCTCTTTTTGATAGGTAGATAGATGACCCTGTTGTAGTTAAAGAGTTTATAAAATATATAAATTCCTTGCATGCAAAAGACTGTATCAATGTGGTATTTTTGGATTATCTATATCCACCTCCAAGGTTGACTGGAATTGACTTGCAGGGCGTGGCCTATAACCATTAAGAGGGTCTTTAAATTTACCATCGAGCATGGCCAGCATGCTGTGAATAATACTAAATGTCTTTCAACGGTGGGTAGACTCTTACCTCCCTGTCGGGAGTAGGTATGACAGGAAGGGCAGGGTAAGGAGCAGACCGAAGCCCTCCTGGTTCCCGTCGGGTGTTCTGGGTCCCTTTTCCTCTGGTGGTTGGTGTGCTGGTCACCTGGACCGACATGAGGAAAGGACCAGAGCCTGAGCTCACTACCAAGAGCCTCATTTCCTGCCATCTACCCATTTTACAAAGTTGTTTGAACAGAATGCAGAGATCTCCGGGGATGAGCAGGGTGGGGAGAGAAATGCAGGTTGATTTATCCACTTCATTCAAAATAACAAGCAATGTATTTCATCTGTTAGGAGCGAGCATGGCCAACTGGCTGCAGAGGGCAGGTCCTTGGCTGTAGGGCGAGGACAAGGGGGCGGGCAGGCCCTGTGGCTGGGCCTCCTCCAGCGGCAGGGCTCTCTGCAGCTCGTGCTAGAGGCACAGCATCTGAAGAGGGAAGGGGCTGCGGAAAGAGCCAGCCACCCAGATCACTGGGTGTGAGCCACAGTCCTGCATGGCAGGCTCTGTCTCTGGAATAGGCAGCCCAGCACAGCAAGTGTATCAGGTCCCCGTCAGCCTTCCTCACCCTGCTCTCCCCTGAACTGATGAACTCTACAGAGGCGGCAGACCTAGAGCCAGAGAAAGGGCTAGCTCGGGTCCCCTAACGAGGCTTGCTGTCCACCACGGGTTACTAATCTGTGTAGCCAATACCACTGGAGATCCCACTACTGCGGAAGCAGTGGCCTAGGCCCACAGGGATCCACAGGGGGTGACCGCCACGTTCCCTGGTCAGTTGTCTTCCTTGTTCATTCTGCTGGTGTGGTAATAAGCAGCAATCCCACCGGCTCTTAGGAAGAAGTGGCGTGTATTAACATGTGTGCATGGATGCCTCTGGGTATGTGCATGTGTGCCCCTGTGTTACTCCATGTGAGGACACGGGGCTGCGTGTGCATGGGAGTGTGTGCACATGGGGGGGGTGCCTTGCAAATGTTCCCAGAGCATGTTTTGTGAGGCCTCCCAGAAGGAATTTGCTCCCACCCAGTTTCTGGCCTTTTGCCTGCCTCTCTCCCCCTTCACCCTACTGGTGCAGTCATGTGAATGTCGCTTTTATTTCTCCCTGTCCTGTGGCCGCCTGGGGGCTCTTCTCCTGCAGAACCAACAAGGGACGGGACATCAAGACCATCAAGTCTCTGCGGGTGCTGCGAGTTCTGAGGCCGCTGAAGACCATCAAGCGCTTGCCCAAGCTCAAGGTAATATTTCCTGTGTTTTTTCTCAACAAGTCTGCTTTTCCCATCTCCTCTCTCCAGCCACGACGGGCTTGCTTTTGTAGAGTTGTGTCTGGGAATTTTCCTTTTTCTCACATGGAGACTGAGGCTCTTTTCAATCTCCCTGCCTGAACTGCAGGTTTTCGTTTCAAAGGAAAACAACCAGCGTCCCAAGAAATCTACAAGGGGCATTTGCCTACTGAGTCCAGCCCCAAGTGATGTAAATAAATATATATCTCCTAATCCTCACCTGAGGATATGCTTGTTGATTTTAGAGAGGAGGGAAAAGAGAGAGAGAGAGAAACAGGAATGCAAGAGAGAAACATGGCTGAGTCGCCTCCTGGCTGCGCCCTGACTAGGGAATCAAACCTGCAACATTTTGGTCTATGGGATGGTGCTCCAACCAACTGAGCCACCCAGCCAGGGCCCCGAGTGACGTTTTATACACTCTGGTTGTGGCCTGTCACTCAGGAAGAAACCATGGGACTGTCCCGGAGCCTCCCCAGACAGAAGCAGCAGGAGCCCCCTGTCTGCGGTCTGCACGCTAGGTCAGGTCAGGGAACCAGGGATGGCTTCTCTCCTCGTCATTCTAGCACAGGAAAGGATCTTCCAGCTCGGACCCTTCCTGGTCTTGAGGCACAGGTAGGTCAGTGACTTGCCCGAGAACAGAGTCATCTTGGACGGAAGCAGAGAAGAAATGGGGAAGTGAGTCAAGGAGAGTGAAGTCCTTCCTGGTGCCAGGAGCTACGCTTTCTCTCATAGGCCCGCCGTCCTGGTTCTCCTGCTCCCTGACCCCGCCCTCCCTACTCACCCACCCTGGGCTCCTTTCCTGATCCTTCCCACCCTCAGGATGTGCTTTATCATCCAGGTTCTGTTTGCTAGCAGGTGGGACCCGCCTCCTACACACACACACACATTGCTGTTCCAGAAGCTGAAGTGTCACGAGAGAAAAGTTACCTCCTGAATTCCTGTGCATGAGCACCAGCTGCCATGGGGGAGGGAACAAGGGACTTACCCTGCTTCCTCGTCCCCCTGTGCCATTGGGTTTGCACCCCTCTGCTCCTCCCCACCGACTCCTCTACCACGGGCCCCATGTGGCCCTCCATAGGGACACTGCTTTTCTTTCCGCCCTCTGGCTATGCAGAGAGGCAGCAAAGCCAGCTGTTTATCAAAGTCTGGGAACAGTAGAAAAGTCACTTCCAAAAGGCCCCAAACTGGCAGACGCAACTTCCACTTAGAGCCTAGGGCCTGGTGCACCCACCCCTGCGTGGGTTCCCAGAGGTGCTCATGCCCCCCAGGAAGGGTCCTCACTGCCTGATTTCCTCCGTCCCCACCTTCCCTCCGGGAAGAGGCACCTCCCACAGTGTCGGGAGGCCTTGCACGTGCTGTTCCGTACAGCCCTCCACCAGGTAACGGCCCAGCACTGAGCCCCTGAGACTGCATTTCTCTCTGCCCCTCCCCCATCCAGACCTGGCCAGGGCGCCTGGGCCTAACCACCCTCGTCAGCTTCAGTCCAGCGATCTCCTCTCCTCCGAGCTATGTTGGGGTCCTGGGGAGGGCACAGGTGGTGTGATGAGATTAGTTAACAGAGTGGAGGGGCACCTCTGACCTTGGTTGGTTCCTTGTAATTAGGAAGAGCGGCTCCTCGCTGCCGCTCTCTGACCCAAGGGAAATGTCAGTGGCTCTGTAGAGTCCACAAGGCTGCGAGTCACTCACAGTCCCTGCGGTGCTGAACTAATTACACCAGCGGCGTTCACCCAGCCCCGCGAAGAAGTGACTGCAGAGATGTGCCACTGCGGTGGGGCTAGAGTCTCCAGCACACCAAACCTAAAAACCTAGAAAATAACCTAAAAATGGCTTGAAATGTGTCACGCTCCCATGTAACGCCTCACAGTTCAGGGTTTAGAATGGCTTCTCCAGAGGGGGTTCACTGCCTTTAACTGAATGTACCCTGATCCGGTCCCCCCGGTCTTCCCATGTGCACTCGAGGGCCCATCCCTTCCCACACCACCTGCTGCGTCTGTATCCCAGCTTTAAACTGGAGAGCATTTCGGTAAGGGCTTGAACGTAACTGGTGCACATATACGAACTTACTATAAAACATCATTAAAATGGATGAAGATGCTAGTTTATGATTACTCTAATCCATTTAGAAAGGTGAAGAGAAAGCACTATATATACTGTATATGAATCAAATATAAGAATATCACCAAATACATGTGAAGTCAGGGTGTAAAGTTATTTAACAGCTAAAATGGGCTAAATGGTGTCAAAGATCCCTTTCTGCAATAATTTCCTGTTCTACCAGGTAGAGAGCACCTAATGGGGTTCCTCAAAGCAGTCCCTCCATTGCCTGGTGGCATCTGGCCTCCATTGCTCTGAGTTCACTGTCAGATTCTGAGCATATGTCCCCTTCCCAGTTGGTGGGGACGTGCAGTCCTGAGCAGCTCAGAAGCCACTTCCGAATCCCGTGAGCATCACTGCTTAGCAAGGCAGTGATCTCCTGAGACCCCTGCTCACCAGGCTGGCTGGTGGCGTCTCTGCCCCAGCTGAGCCCGGGGCAGACGCATAGGCCGTGCCAGGGACCCACACCCCCGGTTCCTCTGTGCACAGGCCGTCTTTGACTGCGTGGTGACCTCGCTGAAGAACGTATTCAACATACTCATTGTCTACAAGCTCTTCATGTTCATCTTCGCCGTGATCGCCGTTCAGCTTTTCAAGGGGAAGTTCTTCTACTGCACCGACAGCTCCAAGGACACGGAGAAGGAATGCATGTGAGTGCCCCCCCCACCCCCGCACGTCCCGTCCACGCATGCCCCGTCCTGAGGCCTGCTCTTTCTCTCGGGCCCATCACCGTCCTCTTTTAGGAAAAGGGCACGATAGGAAGCTGCTCACGTCAGACCTGGTACCTGGCATTTTATCTCCGGTTTCTTCATTTCAAATCTTTATAACGACCTTTTGAGATAGGTTTTACCTGCATATCACAGATGTGGAAGCTGAGGCTTAGCAAGTTGCAGTGGCTCAAAGCCGAGCGGGGACTCAAGAAAGGATTAGCAGTTAATCTTCCACCGCTGAGGTCACCGGATCCCAGTTTTTATTCCGAGGTGTTTACACTACCTTTGATAAAATCCCTTCCTCATTTCGTCTGAATGCTGATCCTTGTTGTCCCGCATCACCGAAGTCCCTGCAACTTCCTTGCTCTTCCACGGGCTATAGCGAAGAAGCTCTGTTGCATTTCTGTGCTGATTTTAGAGGCAGCTATGTGGACCATGAGAAAAACAAGATGGAGGTGAAAGGTCGGGAGTGGAAGCGCCACGAATTCCACTACGACAACATCATCTGGGCCCTGCTGACCCTCTTCACCGTCTCCACGGGGGAAGGATGGCCGCAGTGAGTGACGGGGTTGTTTGTCCGTGCGCTGGGGTGGGGCCGTCCAGTTGCCTCAAGGAGCTGATTGGAAGTGGTGGAGGCTCGTCCTTTGTGGCTGTACCAGGGAGAGTTAGTGGCTACGAGTGAGAGAGGCAGGAGAGAGGAGGACTGGAAACCCGTAGGGCAGAATCAAGGGGGAGACGGCACAGTCAGGGAGACATTTGAAACTCTTAATGTCTGAGCCCAGTCTTGAGGCGTTGAGTGGAGCCTTCTGATTCCTGTAGAGGAAGTGAGTTTGGAGAGCTCCCCAACCCTAACGAGAGTCCCCGGGAGCCGTTTTAAACAGAGTTACCCTTCAGGTTGGCCCCACGCCTGAGCATTGAGGGGCAGGGATGAGCTGGCCGGACCCAGAGACACTTCCTGGGTGCAGACCTTTCTGAAAAAGGACAACGGGATGCAGTTTCTCAGCTGCCCATTGCTGTAGGGTTGACTTCTCGGAGGCCTGGCAGTTACTGGGACACCCCTTCCGGTGGCAGCGTGCTCTGCTTGGCAGCACAGTGCCAAACGGGAATCCAGGCATTGAACATGGTGACCTAGACAGTAAGCTAATGTCACTTTGTTGCTGAGAAGTTGGATGTGTGGTGGAACAGGCTAGAGAAACAGTGGGCTGAGGGCCACTGAATCCCCACCCTCCTGCTTGCTGTGGACCCGAAATACTAATGGAGGCCCTGCACAGTCCAGGAGGTCAGATGGGACACTATAACAGGTGGCGCCTCTTGTAATGAAGCCTTGAGTCAGAGCAGCTGCCAGTGTGACCCCCCACATCCATGGCCCCTCCCCCCGTCGGTCCCCAGAGTTCTGCAGCATTCTGTCGACGTGACGGAGGAGGACCGAGGCCCGAGCCGCAGCAACCGCATGGAGATGTCCATCTTCTACGTGGTCTACTTTGTGGTCTTCCCTTTCTTCTTTGTCAACATCTTTGTGGCTCTCATCATCATCACCTTCCAGGAGCAAGGCGACAAGATGATGGAGGAGTGCAGCCTGGAGAAGAACGAGGTAAAACCAGTCACCTGGAGCTCGGGGCGGCGAGGGCTTCTGGACAGGGACTCGGACCAGCAGCATTAGGAAGGAAGACTTGAGTTTCCTTTTAAGATTTTATTTATTTTTAGAGAGAGGGGAAGGGAGAGAGAAAATGGGGAGAGAAACATCAGTGTGTGGTTGCATCTCGCACGCTCTCTACTGGGCACCTGGCCTGCAACCCAGGCATGTGCCCTGACTGGGAACCAGCGACCCTTTGGTTTGTTGGCTGGCACTTGATCCACTGAGCCACACCAGGCAGGGTGGAAGACTGAGTTTTCTTAACTTAATGATTATAGAAAGAAGATGGGGAAGTTATTCGGTCATTAAATAAACATTTTTTGAGCCTCTGCTCTGTGTAAGGCCCATAGATGCAGGGCACAGTCTGGAAGTGTGAGTGTTTGGGGTCGGGGGTGGAGGTAAGCCACCTGTGTTCCTCTGTGGCCTATATTTGCTATAAGGGAAGGCGATATGGCTCACTGGTCACCACTTTTCTAGTAATAGTTCTGGCCCATGGTAGAGTTTATTATTTTTACAGTGGAACTGAACGAGTAACTGAGGCTGTAAGATAGATACAGATAAAGTGTTCTGGGCTGCATAGAGAGTTTTTGACTCTGACTGAGGGCATCCGGTAAGGCTTCCTGCGTGAACGTCTCAGCCACAGCCCATGTGAGAGGATATTAATATCCATTGAGTTCTTACCCTCTGTGACAGAACATCCCCCCAGTTCTATTCATTTAAGGTGGCATGTTACCTGTAGACAATCCTTATGGCCATTTTTACATCAGCCTGTGCAGCTCTATTTTTTATTTGAGGGGGGGTCATTTTGTTTTTTTTTGCCAAACGGCATCTTCTTCTAACCATCTGACAGAGAGCCACCAACCTGCAGGGCTTGGGGGACTGGGGCTCGGGGGGCCGGGGCTTGGGCCGGTAGCGGACGGTGCCTTTCCCGCAGAGGGCGTGCATCGACTTCGCCATCAGCGCCAAGCCCCTCACCCGCTACATGCCGCAGAACAGGCACACCTTCCAGTACCGCGTCTGGCACTTCGTGGTGTCCCCGTCCTTCGAGTACACCATCATGGCCATGATCGCCTTGAACACCATCGTGCTGATGATGAAGGTGAGAGGGCATTGACCGGATGTGCTGGGGCGGCTGGACCGCAGCGGCGACTTCCCTCAGGGAGAGATTGCGTGTGTGTGCGCCCGAGACCTCGGGAAACGCTCCTGCTCACCACTTTGCATCCTTGGCCTACTTTTCCACCGTGGAATCTCTTTCTGGGCTTCTCTCATCCCACAGCCCAACCTCTGGGTCTTTGGGGCAAAGTACAGTGGACACAGCAGCCGGCCAGCCGTTCCCAAAGCCGGGGGTGGTGATGTCAGGGAGATTCAGACAAGGGCGGATGTGTCAGGAGATGGAGATGACCACGGGGTTCTGACGGAGGGTGGGAAGGGATTTGACCTTATGTAATGCTAAATGGGCAAGTCATTAACTCTGGAAAATGCTCCTGTCCTGCGCCTCATCATCTCGAGGCAGACTGGCTGTGTTGCTAATAAGTAGTGGTGGGGGGTGGGGGGCTTGGCCTGTGTTCCCCTCTGTTTTGTTTTGTTCTGCCACACGGACTGTGTGGTCTTCTCTGCAGCATTCCACGTCCACCGCTCCTACACCACGTGCCAGAGTGGCCCCCAAGGGCAGGGCTGCGTGGTGGCCAGGCCCTGTGACCCAGAATTCCCCGATCACCCTGAGCGTTTGGTTCTTTTTCTCCTCTTTTCTCTTCCCGGCAGTACTACTCTGCTCCCTGCACTTACGAACTGGCCCTGAAGTACCTGAACATCGCCTTCACCATGGTGTTTTCCTTGGAATGTGTCCTGAAGATCATCGCCTTCGGCTTCTTGGTACGTCCTGGACCCTGTCCTTGGCACGCACGTCTCCCCAGCCTCTGCGGGGAGGGGGAAGGTCACCCCGCCTCAAATGTGGCCCGTCTACCTACCCGCCCCTACCAGGGCCCCTTTTGAGTGCTCAGTAAACTGCCATAGAGACAAGACCATGTGCAAGGGCATTAGGGGAAAGGGCAAAGGAAGCCAGATCCCCAGCTCAGGCTCGTCTAGCCTCCGGCTCTGGTCCTGTTGGGGTCTGTCAGCACTTGAGGGGTGACAGTCACCAGCTCTCACTAGCGCTGCAGTGTACCTGGCGCTGGGGAACTAGGCTAATAAACCTTGAGTGCTTGTTTACTGTAGAAGGTATAAAATGTTATAACTCCAGCAGGAAACTACCTGTCCCTCTCAGTAGCCTCAAACATCGTTGATAATAGGTTTCACCTAATTTTCCTCCTCTCCTTAGTTACATGAAGAGTCATTTCTGCCAACAAAAACGTTTGGTACATAAGCTTACAAAAAGCAAATGACCTCTGGAGTACGGACGTGGGCGGGGGGCAGGGAGAGGTGTGTGCATGGGGATTTGGGTCTGGGAAGGGGTGGGATGAGGTTTTCTGGCAGAGTCCTCCTCCTCCTCAACTACTAAATTGCGATCAGCGGATTCTGGCATCTGCTCTCGCGAGTGTTAGGCAAACCTGGCCCACTGCTGTAGTGTCCTATAAACAAAGCAGTCCTCTCTGCCCCCTGGCCCTTGCTTCAGCGTTTACAGTGGCACCAGTGGGCTGCAGAAAAGCCCACCCGACAGCTGTCTCACGCTTATTTAGTACGGGGGTCTCCGTTCCAAATTGTAGCTGTCTGTGGCCTTCCCTGCAAGGAGGGAGACTCTGCTTGTCATCTGAATAAGGTTTGATCACTGCAAGTGCTGGCTGGCTGGGGGGTTGCTTTTGCTCCCTCACTGGCTCTTGGAAAAGTCATTCATCCGATGGCTCGGGGAGGAGAGTTACAGGAGACCCGTCGCAGGTGGCCATAGTGTTGTTTGCCTGGGCCCCTCTTCCCTGTTTGGGGACTGGAGACTCGGGGAAGCAAGAGTGAAAAGAAACAGTCCGACCCTATGGGGGGTGAGCTGGGGGAAGGAGACGTGGTACCACGGCAGGGAAAGGTGCTCCTGTACACCTGGACTGCTGGCAGGTGGCGCACACACTCACACACACACACTCACACACACACTCAGACCTGCACACACTCACGCACGCCACACACAGACTCAAACTCTCACATACACGCCACACACACTCGCTCCCTCCACACACACACACTCACACACTTATTTTCACTCAAGGTCTCAAGGCGTTTGTACACCGTAAGGACGCTGTTAGTCCCAAGTACGTCTGTGTTGCTGGAGTGTCGCAGGTCCCCACAGGACCCCAGCATGTGCTGTGTGCTGAGTCGGGGCTTCTCCGTGACTGAAGTAGCCGTGGCGCAGGCGGTGTCATGGTTACGACTGTTGTCCATTTCAATGAGGAAACTGATGTTCAGAGCAATCATACAGCTTTTTAAAGGTTGCACAGCAAAAGGCAGTGGAATTGGAAAGTGTGGTGGGAACAGAAAAGGAAGAAAAGGGAAAAGGCGGGAGAGGATGAACATTCATTTGGTTGTCTCTTACGTGCCAGATGCTTTATATATTATTCATTCTAGCTTCACAACAGCTCTATCAGACGGGCAGTTGCCTTCTTTTACGAATGCGCTTTTGCCCAAGGTTATGAAAAGGCAGAGCCAGCATTCAGATCCAGGGCTGGCTGACTGGAGAGCCCATGCCCCGTCCACCCTAATCTACTCGTCTGCATGACAGTGTGCTGTTCCGGACCATGTCGTGTGGCAAAGCGCCCTCACCTGGAATCCAGGTCCTCTGAGACTCGGATTTGCAGTCTCTCTGCTGGATGGGGGCCATCCAAGAACTAGGCAGCTCCCTCGGGCTGGGGAGAGGAGAGCCCCAGGAATGGAGGGACTAGGAGACTCCGCCTGGCTCCGGCCATGAAGGAATGGGCATTGCCAATGGAAAGTGAGATTGTCGGGAGGGTACGTACCTTAGTTTCTCCACATGCCTGGCAGGTACTTGTGGCTTTGGACTCAGACAAGGCTCACTTTTCTCATTCATAAAATGAGCATAGCAATAGCTATCTTATAGCCTCAAATACTTGTGTGCATCCAATTCGGCAGTGTGCCCAGGGCATCTAAGGCGTCTGGCCCTGAGTAGGTTGCTCATTACGTGTAGCTCCTCTCTCTCCACACGCCTTCTCTGTCTTTGTTGCCTGTCCGTCCCCATTCTTACCAGCCCTTCGGTTCAATATTTTATGAGCATAGGTATCGCTCTCCACCTCTAGACTCCATAGGACGGATAAACGAATCGACGGATGCCCAAGGGCCCCATATCTGGCCCAGAGAGGGAGGTGTCACCGATGCCAGCCAGGAGGATGGGAGGGGGTGCACGTCTGCGATGCTCTGAGAGTCTCCAGTGAGCAAGCAGGAGACGTTGGGGAGACCCGAGTGTCCTGCGTCTTTTATGGAATACAGCCCAAGGTCAGCGTTCACCTGAGCCCTGGAGACGGGCGCGGCCCACTCTCTGTTAGGTGCAGTGTTACCTGGTTGGTGGATTTTCTAGGTCCTTTGTTTCTCCTCCGTCTCCTTCGGCCCCTCATTTTATTACTGCTTCCTTGCCTTTTATTCCTTACACCCCCTCAAAAGGAGTAACAGAGCAGAGAAAGAGGGGAAAGAGTAGGCCTGTTCATCCTATTGCGATTCAGCAGTGGCTTTGAAGAAGCTGCACGGAGTTAGAGGCTCTTTTTGGCACCTCTTTGATCTTTAGTCACTTAGGACGTTTCTGTGACTTTGACGAATAATTGAAAGTCAGAACTGTGTATTCCTAGGGTCACATGGCACAATATGGGTAATTTAAAAAGTTGTTTTAGAAAACCTTGAAGTAACATTGTAAATAATTCGATTGTCTTGTAGGTGGCAATGATCTTTCTTTTGTTAACTTATGATGTTCTTGGCCATACATCTCTCTTACATATGAGCTTTTTAGTGATGCCTTCAGCAACAAGGTGTTCCAGTAGTGATGAAACTGTTTCCCAAATGACCGATTCCCACATCAATGAAGGAGAAACAACGTTTCTGGTTAGAAATGGGAAACCAAAGCCAATGGTAGAATGAACTTGCCGGCGAATGAACAAGTTTTCATTCTAAGTGACAAAACTGTGTCATGAACATAGCTGTCTTTTCTCCCTTTTTAACTTTTTCCCTGGTTTCTTTTCCTCCTTTATCTGACGCTCCCATGACTGAATGCACTTGGCAGAACTATTTCCGAGACACTTGGAATATCTTCGACTTCATCACCGTGATCGGCAGCATTACAGAAATCATTCTGACCGACAGCAAGGTGAGTGGCTCATGGATCTCTTCTTTCATTGTGGCCCAGAAGTAGCATTAAAAAAAAATCCTTTGCATGCTCAGTCCATTTTCAACTCATCAAACCAAACTCGTTTCCTCTGAGTATAGTATGGGGAGTTCCCTTCCTCACTCAGCTCTAGCCAGAAAATGCAGATGCTGGAGAACCGAGCTCCTGGTCTCACCAGCTTTGCTTCGTTTGCATGATGCAAACAGCAGGCGTTTCCCGGAGAAGTGGCATGAATAGAGGGTGTCAGAAGAGACCTAGGTACAGTGTCACTTGAAGAGATAATGAAAGAGTCATAGTTTCTTTGCCCGCTAAGTTGTTAGGCCTGAACTGTTTCCCTAAAATTGTTCCCTAAAAAGGAGGCTTGGAGAACTCATGGTAATTCTCTTCGAATATCAGAGCGTCGTCCTGTACTGGAGGGATTATTAGAGCCATGCTTCTGGTGTCTAGGCTCAGAGTTCGGATCACTTATAGAAGACAAGGGGGGCTGGGCCTGTCTGGTGCAGGGCACCCTTGCGGGGTGGTGCCACAGGCTTCTCCCTGGGACTAGAAGGCAGGCCCGGGAAGGCTTCGAGACACGGGCCTCCCCGTCCTGTTAGCCAGAGATGGAGTTAGAAACAAAGACAGAATCCATGTCCACTTTTATGGCCTGAAGGAGGGATAAAGACACCAATACTTAGGGCTTAGATTTTTCTAAATAACCAGAATGTCACTCGTTCTGTGGTTTTCTTCCATCCACCAGCTGGTGAACACCAGTGGCTTCAACATGAGCTTTCTGAAGCTCTTCCGCGCCGCCCGCCTCATCAAACTCCTGCGTCAGGGCTACACCATCCGTATTTTACTGTGGACCTTCGTGCAGTCCTTTAAGGTAAGAGGCACCAGCCCCTCCTCCTCTCCGAGGGTCAAGGTGGCCCTAACAGAGCAGACAGCACAGCCCGGCGACACGATGCCATTCCATAAGTCCCTTCGCCTCTGAAGCTAGGAGAATGGGTGTTCGTTCAGAGTATTAGATAAATACAGGTCAGCTCTGCCAGGCCGAGGTCAGCTCGTCTTACTCGATAGAATCTCAGTCTAGAACATCGTCTCGACTTTGTAACTCACTTATTTTTTTCCGCCCACTAAGGCAGGTAGCTTATCTTCATGTGGCATGGTGCCTCCCATGGCCTCCCAGACCCCCAAGCAACCCCATCCACGTGTAGAGCCAGCCACCTGTGGTCACAAACCCTTTGCCTTTTCAGGGACATGACAGTTGGCTTTATTTCACGGAACGATTTTTCAGAGGACTTCCTGAGCTCCGTGTCACAGCAGGATGACTCACTCCAGCCCCACCATCGGGGTGTGTGGCCCGCGTGCCGGTGGGGCGTCTGGGGAGGTTCGCAGGGTGAGCAAGCTCTGAGCGCGTGCACAGGCTGTGCAGAGGTGCCTACACAGTGCAGTTAGAAGCCAGTACCTGAGACCCACTCTGATGGCAGAGACTTCCCATAAACAGAAGCTTCCGAAACCTATTTAAATTATCTTCACGCTGTAGCAAATACTGTAATTAGCTACCGTTCAGGTGGCGGGGGCCTAAAAGCTGTTTAAATGCCTACTGTTTTCCTCTTATTAAAAAAACAAAATGGTTGGCCCAGGAATATGTTTTAAAAATAAATTTGATGATAGTGATTCAAAGATAAAATTAAAAAGCCCATTCTGTGATTTCTTAATTACTTGTACACAGGTGGGCAAAAGTCAATTATGTTGATGTGGAAAAAGAAACACAGGCTGCGATTATTACAGTGGCTTTATTAACGCAGACGATGCCACAGTGCATCTGTAAACCTAGCCCCCCCCCCCCGTATTTTAATTACAAACTGGAATACAGAAGACAAGCCCAGAACCTCGCACTTTCTCATCACCCTCTTCATTCGGAAAGGGCCTTCACCCCACCCCCTCACGGCTGACTCACCTCTCCGTCAAGGACCTGCAGGTGCGAGGTGGGAGACCGGTTGGAAGGATGGATGTTCAGGCTCCTACGAACAACCTTGACATTTTTACCGTGTCCAGAGTAATTGTTTGATGTGATAGCTCCCACGGAGGCCTTTGGAAAACCGTTTTTCCAAAGCTAAATGGCCGAGGAGAACTCTAAACCCTTAGCAAGAATTTACCATGAGTCTCAGGTGACTTCGGATTTAGAATTTGAAATCAGATGCTCTTAAAAACCTGCCCAACAAGCTGGCATCGTCGGTGAGTCTCTTAAGAAATATGTGTCAGCCTGTCATATTGTCACGATCACCGATTCTCTGTAAAACTGGGGACTATTGAGGGCAAAGAAGAGGCATGTCAAAAACTGAAGGCCAAATGGTTGGCTTATTTCAGTGACTATACAGAGAGGGGTGAAGACGGCTGAGTCTGCCTCCAGGTGACAGTGTGATGGATGGATGTTGCCTTTTTGGACCAGTCCTGGGACACGGCATTGAAGTTGTTTTCTTAACGTTGTCATGACAGAGGCCGCCTCCGAAAACACACTGCCTCACAACCCAAAGCGCACAGCCGCTGCCTTCCCAGCCCCGAACGTCGCCCAGTTCTCCACCACTGACCCCCACTCAGTTCTTCCCCCTTTGCCTTTATTTTGTGTTCGAATTCATAATGTGGTAAGAAAGGAGATCAGAATGAATCTTTGGTCCTCTCCCCAAAGCTGGGGGTGGGGAGGGATGAACTAGGGCCTGGCGCCATTGGCGTGGAGAAGGTGGAATGAGGGCGGGAGGTCCATGTGGAAGGTGACAGAAGGTAGCCACGCCCAGGTGGTAAGAAACCTGCCTCCCCACTCTTTCCTCTCAGCAGGGGGAGCCCTCCCGTGGCCCCTCAAAGTGCAGCCGTTCTGCCCACAGAACTTGGGAATCAACACTTCATTGGAGGGGGGATCTTCCCACCAATTTCAACCCTTTGTTCACTTTACAAAAGCCCCCCAGGGCTCTCCACTTGGTGAGATCTGTTGGTGAGCCCTGCCCGGCTCCTGCCATCTGAGGGCCTGTAACTGGTCCCCCGGGGTCCATACTGTCCACACTCAAGACACAGTTGAGTCACATAGTGGTACCGCCTTCTGAGGGCTTATGGGATGATGAAGAAGAGGGATTTCCACGTCAGCACTGAGATCGCCCCAGAATTCCAGTGCCACCGCGGCCCCCAAACCAGACTGCCCAATGCCTGCACAGTGCTGCAGCCATCAGGGCGGTTTTCCGCCTTACATCTCCTTCCCTGGCCCCCTTCACTCCGTAAGTGAAATGTTATCCCGGAGCGGCAGTCGGCTTGCACTGTATAGAACGCGGTGCTGCCTCCTGGCTTCCCAGCAGGGCCTTGTGGGATGTTGCAGGGCACGTGTGGAAAAGTCAGGAGGCTGAAACTTTGGGAAGAGGTTCTTTATCAGACAACGCAGGAGCCTTCTGGGTCCGACACACGGCTGAGACCCAGCGTTGGAGTTTGCTTCCAGACTCTCCGTCGGGGCTTCACCTCGAGTGCGGGTGTGGGAAGGGGTCGCGCAGGGAGGCCGGGGCCAGCTGGAGGCTCGCTGTGTAATCTGCGTTGCAGTCACCCACTCACTAATGATCTGCATGGGAAGTGGGGTGAGTCGCGGGCCTGGGGGCTTTCTCAGCTCTCCCGGGGGATCTGGGCCGCACTCAGGGCCGAGGGAACCTTCACGGCGGAAGGTAGAGGACAAGCCACTGCGGCCACCGCTTCCCTGTCTGTGAGAGGACGTGGACCTCTGCAGAGTAAGGGGCCCCGACACAGGGCCTTCCTGGGGAATACGGCGTCCCGGAGAGTCTGCGTGAGTCAGCCCGGGGCCGGACTCGCCGCACTGCCCATCACCTCGGGTCGCTGAGTCCGAGAGCTGCCCGCCTTTGAGTCATGGTCACATCTCCGCTTTCCTTCCAGGCCCTCCCTTACGTCTGCCTTTTGATTGCCATGCTTTTCTTCATCTACGCCATCATCGGGATGCAGGTGAGCGGGCGCACGCGGGGCCTGGTGGTCTCCGGCTCACCAGCCAGGGCGGGTTCCCAAGGTCTTGTTGCAGTGTGACCTTGAGGATTTCCCACTGGCAGGTATTCAGGGTGGTCTGCTGCAGGGCCTTCCCCTGAGGTTGTGAGACCGTGGTGATGACTTACAAGCAGTTGGCCTTCCACAGGCACAACAACAAAACCACAGTGAAGGTGACACCAGTGTTGTCGGTGAGAGGGGTTCCCCGGGAGCCTGAGGAGGGGGCAGGGCTCACGCTGATCTCACGTGGCCGAGCCGGGCCTAAAAAAGGTCAGATGGTTCTGCATCCCGTGATACAAAATATGCCTGAGTTAAGTCTCGAATGGCTGAGACTTGCACCCTAAGGCGCATCATTGGAAATAGCTCGCAGAGTCCCGGGTAGCATGCCCAGCCCTAGGCCCCGGGGCCCTCCAGCTTGGCGGACAGTTCTCTTGGGTAACCGCATCCTTTCTGGGTTTGGAGCTGAGCGGTGGAGATCAGCTGCCTACCCTGGGTATTTCTGCAGGCAGCCAGGGGCCCCCTGAGCAGAAGAGGCCAAATGATCTTTGGAGGCAGCGGTCAGGCAGGGCTCTTACTGAAAACAAACGGCACCGCAGCCCCTGGGCCTCCCCAGCTGGGCACGCAGCTTTCTGCTAGTCTCAGGGAGGCTGACTTTCTGACCGGGAGGTAGGCACGTGAACCCCCCACACAGAACTTCAGCTGAGCGGCAGCCTCCTGCAGCCAGGCGGTTCGGCCACCTTTGGACTGCCAGCTGCCTTTTCCACGGCGCCTGCGGAGCCATCGGCCCGTCTCCCGGGCTGGCGGCGTCAGCAGCCCTTCCCAGAGCATCTCTGAAGTCTCTGCTCTTTGCTCCTCTGTCTTGCTTGCACTTCTTAATTTTGTTCCTCATCTAACTCCATTATTGGAGAGTTTGGTTCTCCAAAAATGCAATAGAATGTCAAGTGTCCCAAAGCGTGAGACGGGGTTGGAAAGTAGTGAGTTCTCCTTCACGGAGGATGTTTTGGGAGAGATTCGATGACGCCGGCCGTGGTGTGTTATAAGCTAATCCCAGCGAACTTCATGAGTGGCTTGATGACTTCTGTTAAGTCCCTTCAAACTCTCAAATATTTGACTGTGGAATTAAAATGTTCCTGAACAGCCAAATGAAACTTTTCTTTCTTGCTTATGCTTAAAAATAATTCTTTCCCCTCTTTTCATTTTCAAACCATATAAATTAGAATTGTACCAGCTCCAATATTCACCAGTTATTAATACTACTGATAACGATGCTAATGCTGTGTGCCATGACCTGAACTCCTGAGTGTGCCAGGCACTGTGCTAAATGGACGTTCCTCCCCCACCTCCCCCCACCGTGTGTATAGTAGATATCACGCAGGCACATAGAGAGACAAAGCTTCCAACTAGAAAGACTGCTCCTCGTATTGTCGTAACAAGGCTGAGAGGCCCCTAAAGCAGAAGGGGCAGCAAACAGAGTGACGTTAGAAAGATAAATGGCCACACGATGTCTTTCTGAGAAGGACTGTCATTCTGCACTTTCCCAGTCATCTTGGAAGAACAGAACTTTGCAGAGGAATCTGAACATGGAAGGAAGGAGTCACTGGCTGGGGAAGGAAAAGCCCCCTGGAGCTGTGCATCCTTAGGGGTGAGGCTTTCAACCTCAGCTGCACTGCTGGTGAGCTGTGCAGACTGAGTCCAGTCCCAGGACCTGTCCGGGCTCAACACCCCGCCCTGTGCAGTGCAGGGGCTGAATGGGGAGCTTCACGGGCCCTTCCTGGTTCTGACGTGCTGTGATTCCAGGCGGAAACGGGTTTAAACCTGTACTTTCCGGCAGTTTCCTGGTGGATCCCAGTGTCCCTTCTTTCTCTTCTGCACCCATTTGATGTGGGAGATTGGGTTCAGTAACAAGGACTAAGTGAAAAGCTAAAGAGAAAAATAAACTTCAAGACCACCTTCACAATAAATACACACTTGAAATTTTTCTTGGCGTTCCTTCAGCATAAGCTTTGGTTTCTTTGGCTGTTATCCACCTACCTCATGCAAAATCACAGCCTGCCCCCAAACCAGTTCATGGTCGGAGAAGGTGTTGGAGAAAGTGGCAGTGATGGCTTCAGCGTGTCATAGGGAAGAAATACTCATGTCCAATGCACTTTAGTGGAGTCAGGGGTAACTCATGAATTCTGAGTGAGAGAGTGGAGACAGACGGCAGTGTGAGCACAGGCAGAGCAACCTGACAGTCTGCTCCCAGGGCTTCCAGAATTATGTATGATAGGTCGGGATTTGTTTTCAATGCATTGGTCCTTTGGGGGGCCCTCTGCTTTCTTATCTTCTTCCTCCCCGACTTCCCCAGTGCTGCCTAGGCTGCCCCCTCCATTCCCCCTAAGAGACAAGGAGTATTTGGGTTTTGAAAAACAGCATTAAGAACAAATTCCCAAAGCAGGTGTCAGTGGGAGTTATATGAGCAGAATAGCTGGGGGCAGAGATTGTTCTTCAATTGCACGTCCTGAAAACTGTTAGGGAGGGAGAAAACATGTTGCATTTAGCATATATTTGATAAATGGAGGCATATTAAATATGGGCTGAAAATTGCTGGAAAAGTGACCTGAGGGCCTTCAGTTGTACAAAGAGTGACTCTCGAGAGTAGACCCTGATGTCGGAAGCACGGCTGGGGAGGCCAGTGCACACGGGCGGGCACCCTTCTCATCCAAAGAGACTTGGGGTTGACCTTGGCTCCTGGGAGCACTGTGTTTGAGTCGATCTTTATTCACTGTCTGCAGAGGAAGACCTCCGGGTTTCCCCCCTTTTGTACATGGGTTTGCATGGTGACTATATCCTCAGCTACCAATGACAGATGAGTAAGCTCACTCTGGCCAGATGTGCCCAAATCCATTTCCTTTGCCCTCTTTCAAGTATCCAGTTGTGACTTCCTTCATCCCACTGGCCTGGACTGCAGTTGATAGGCCTATCGACCTTCTGAACATAGAGTCTGGTGAGGAGCACAGCGAGGAAGATAGAAATGCCCCTCTGACCTAAACTGCGTGTTAACATCAGGGCAGCCCCTTCCCAGGCCTCTACAGACAGAGGGATCCCCTCATCGCTGCCCGAGACCGGCAGAGCAGGGTAGCTTCCTCCCTGAGTCCTGCAGTAAGACCACAGGACAGTCCTGCGGTGGGACAGCGTCTGGGGCAGGCCGCTCTAGCACCGTGGCGAGTACCTCGATACCAGGTTCAATGGAAATAAAGAGGCCAAATTAGCTGTGGGCAGAACTACTTACAGGCAGTGATTCCGAAAGATCTTGCCTCCTGTGGTCTTCTTCTCACTCCTTATCAGGTGGAGAGCCTGGGGCCCACCAGCCTCTCTGCCTTGAGTCGTCTGCTTCAGGGGGAGCCGCGCATGCAGACCTGCCAGCCCTGCAGGTGCCTCTAGCACCATGCGCTGGCGCATCGCTCAGCCCAGTATGCTCACTGCTCTCTGCTGTCTTTCTCCTCAAGGTGTTTGGAAACATCAAATTAGACGAGGAGAGTCACATCAACCGGCACAACAACTTCCGGAGTTTCTTTGGGTCCCTCATGCTGCTCTTCAGGTACCTGGACACATAACTGTCGTAGGTGGACTCTCCTGCCCAGGGGACCCCGTTGCTGTTCTGTCTCCACTCTGCTTGCTCTGCTCCTATCAGGGTAATAGCGGAGTCAGGGCAGGGGGGGTGGGGACAATGCCTCCACAAAACTGCCTGGTGATGGTGACATTAGAAAGTTTCCTGTCTTTGACTCAGTAGTTAATTTACAAATTGCACCTTGAACGTGTCCTTTAGGGCTCTCAGGGAAGGCAAGGATGGTTTCTTGCTGATCAAATTCCTTTTAAGGCCTGAGACCTTGGATGGCCAGGTGTATGTGAGGTCCCAGAGAGTCCCAACACCGTCAGCAGAGTTTCTTCCAAAGATGAAGGGGCAGTGGGTGGGGGGCAGGACCCCGGAGAGCCCCCACGGGCACTCTTTACCTCCGAGCACAACTACACCTGCTGGCTCTGCAGCAAGAGAAGGGACTGGGTGAGCTGGGGGAAGAGGGCCGAGGAGCAGAGAGGGCACGCAGACCTGCCGCTGATGACCGCAGCGTCGTCTTCCGGGCTCAGGAGCGCCACCGGGGAGGCCTGGCAGGAGATCATGCTGTCCTGCCTCGGGGAGAAGGGCTGTGAGCCCGACACCACGGCGCCGGCGGGGCAGAGCGAGAGCGAGCGCTGTGGCACCGACCTGGCCTACGTGTACTTCGTCTCCTTCATCTTCTTCTGCTCCTTCTTGGTGAGTGACGCTGTGCTCTTGGCCTCTGATAGACGGACACGAGATGTCTCCCCCAGTGGGCAGACACACACACACACACATGCACCAGCCCACAGTGTGGAGAACCAGGTTTTCCTCATGAGAACTGTTGGGAGCACGGTGCCCATCGCCTCCTGGTGGGTGAGGGCCCGCGGTTGGGAGAAGCCGGTGCTGTATCCGGAGGAGGAGTCGGTGAGAAGGGGCGGTGGGTGGCGCAGAGGCCAGGGAACAGAGCAGTGCGCTTACTGATGAATCTGTGTGACCCACAGTAAATCCTTTCTCTCCTGTACCTCGGACATTCTATAAGTACAACCAAGAACATCCACGCTCTCTCTCTCTGGGGACCTTTAAACTGTTTAAAAGAAGGTGGTAGTATTAATAAGAGTAGAATGATGATGATACACATGTAATAGGTGCAATTCTTAGCTATTGAGTTTGGTGACGGCTGGCTGGCTTGGTGGAGGGATACTTCTGGCCACCCCGACAGCCCCCGGCTCAGCTCGGCCGCAAACGCCGCTGCACCAAAGTCGGAAACTGACACAGTGCCTCTGGAAGGCACACGGTTTCGTGGCCGTACGTCAAAAAGTGACTTGATTGTCCCTCATCCAGGCAGTTCTACTTCTCACGTGCCCCTGAAGGGGGCCCGCCACGGGGCCACCTCTCAGGTGTGGGACGTGGCTTGCATACAGACGAAGGGTGACCGGCAGGTCAAGTGCAGAGAGTGAACTAACTGCTGTGTTAGTAGCCACATTGCGTTCTGGGCTTTGCTGCTGGTGCAGCTTCTGGAGGGTGGGAGGGAAAATGGCTTGATGATGAGCGTTATTTGCGTGGTGAGTGGAGGCATGTGTTTTAACACACAAAACAGTACCCTATTTAGAAATGTGGAAGTAGACTATACAATGAAAATCACTAAAAAGCAATTTAGAATGGTATTAATTGGAGTTTTCGGTTGATTCATTCACATAGTCAACACGTCTGTATTGAGTGGTATTAAAAGGCTAGGCACTGGGAGAAAGCTGGGAGTCGGGGTCACCTACAGTGGAAGGGTTAAAGGCCTACAGGGGTCTCAGTGCTTATGGACGGGGTGAAATGGGGTATATAGAAAGCAGGGCGTGCAGACACCTCAGTTCTGTTCTTCAGGGTGTAAGCGTTTAATAATAAATATGTAAAAGAAACCACAGATAATAGCTGGAAAATTAATTAGAGACCAGGAAGGTGCTGTGAGAATTTTGAGCTGGAGGGTGCTGCATAATTCACGTTAATGTTCTTTTTAAAGAGGCTGTATTCAGCTGGAGAAGATCTGCTTTCAGATCTCAGCCCTTGAGGAGCCCGGCTTTGTGACCTTGGGTGAGTCACTCCCAGTCACACAGCCACTGGACAGCAGTTCCCAGCTCCAAGCCACTGTCCAGGAAGATTTACTGATGCGCTGCGACATGCTGGGCCGTGTGCTTGGAGCTGGGAATGCCCACCTGTGTAGGAAGCACTGTGTCTTTGAGGCCTGTCGGCAATTAAAGCTGCCTCCTGCAGAGTTCCAGCGGACTGGAAACAAACAATGGGTGTGGATGTGCACACCAGTATAAAAGGCCGTGCAAATGTAAAGCAATAAATAGTTATGAGCCTTTGTCAACATTAATAATAGGTGCCGAGAAAGGAGAGTAGAAGATGTGTGTGGATACATGGGAAACCCTTTAGAATCCATGCAGCCATTGAATATACTCACTGGGGCTCCAACGTCGGCCGTAGGAAGAAAGGCCCCAGCTAGGATCAGGTCCCACTGCATGAGACGCAGCTCCCAGAGCAGCGGCGGCTTAACCGAGAGGGATGTTTCTCTCCCTCGGACACCAGTGCGTTCTGGAGGAAGGCAGCTCAGGCTTGTTCCGGTGGCTGGTTAGCACCCTGGACTCTCTCTGCTCCCTCCCCTCCAGGAGTGTCCCTCACCCTCCTGAGGCAGGACCCCAGGCATCCACTTACATTCTGAATGGATGGATGGACAGAGGGAAGAGGAAGAGTAGTTATTATGATGGGGCCAACAGTCTCTGTATTACAGAGAAGAGTCTGACCAGGTCCCTCCCACACACTGTCCTTCTTTTGTCCACTCAGCCTGCACGTGTGGCTCCTCTGTGCACCCAGCCACTTACCCCGGGGGGTCAGCAACAGGGACTCCTGGTCTCTTAGCCCCGGCGGCACACTGGCCTCTGTCAGGCAGGACTCTCTCACTTGCACGTGACATGAGGCCCCGCTACGTCTGGCTGAAGCAGAACAGGGTTTTGCAGGCGAGGAGGAGCCCTGAGGCAGGGCAGGCAGGTTTCAGCATGCAGGACATGGGGCTCCGAGGACATCGCCAGGACCAGGGGGCTTTTTCTGTTGATTGTTCTCTTGCTCCAGACTTTTCCACGGGAGCTTTTCTCAAACACCCCCAGCCTATGGCCCTGAGAGCCTGCAGCGGTCCCTGCACACTCAAGCCCAGCAGGCAAGAGCAAGTATTTTGCCCCGGAGGTTCAGTGCCTTTTTACTGGCCTCGACTGGCTCACCAGTCAACTACAGCCCAGAGGAATGGGATGCAGGGATTGGCTGAGACCTGGATCCCAGGTGGTGTTCGACTGAACCATATTAACCAGGAACAGGCAAGAAAAGAGCAGCCGTCTAGTCAGCGGGTGCTGGGCAGCCCAGAATCCACAAAGCAGAGCTGTTCACGGTGGCCGTCCAGTCCTGTCAGTGCCACTCCCTCTAACTCTCCAGTTTATGCTGCTGCCACCCTGCCACCCGCCTGGTTCGGGCACCACGACCCCCTCCACACAGCCAGTGAGCATCCGTTCTGCACGCCCTTGGTCTTCCTCCTAGTTTAACCCCCTGTGCAGGTTCCCCGAGCCTGCTGCGTAAGTCTAGGGCGGCCCCTACAGCCAGCGGGCCACACCAGTTTGTCACTCATTTGTTTGGACAGAAATGGTTTTTATGTTTTTACATAGTTGAGAGGAAAATAACCAAATATTTCATGACGTGAAAATGAGCTGAAATTCAAATGCACACTCCTGTCTGTTTCCGCTGTAACCTGCATCTGCTGCTTATTGGCTCTTCTTGTAAAAATCTGTAACGTTTGTGTATTTGCAATATGTCGCCGTCTTTACTAAATACTAAATAAGTCTTTACGGTACTCCAGCATCAACACCTAGGGAACCCCTGCTGCGCCCTCGCAGTGTACCAGGCATGGGACTCTGGCTCTGGGTGAGGACCCCCCCTGCCCCCCCCCCGTCCCCAGCCCCAGCACCTGGGTCTCTGTTTGGAATACGGTGGGTGGACAATAAATGTTGTTGAACAAGTAGGTGGGAGAAGAGGATCTTCTTGGAAGCCACTCAAGAGCCGTGAATAGCTTCACGTCGGCACACAGCGAGCCGTGCCGTCAGCCCTGAGACATCTCCCCAGTTCTGTTGGCTGCTTTGGTGGTGCAAGGGTGGGGGAGGGTCTGGGAGGGGGTGTCAGACCGTGACTTACTCTAGCCTTTGAGGCTGTTGTCACGGCTGCTCCCTCTGCTGCTGTGATAACAATCACGTAAATTGAACCGATAGCAAAAAGCGGCCGTGGAGTACTTGGCAGATAGGAAGCGGCACAGAACATCGAAACGCTGCTGTTCACACAACGAAGTGTGTGGCGTAGATGGTGCAAGCGCGGTGACTTCAGCAGGATCCACAGGGCTCTTGTGAGGGCAGGCGGCCTCACAGACTGCGGCGTTACTGGTGTGCCTCGGAGCCTGGGTTTCTGCTTTAGGGCTCCCCCAACCCTTCTTCTCTGCCCTCTTGCCCCCCAGATGCTCAACCTGTTCGTGGCCGTCATCATGGACAACTTCGAGTACCTGACTCGGGACTCGTCCATCCTGGGGCCGCACCACTTGGACGAGTTTGTTCGTGTCTGGGCAGAATATGACCGAGCTGCGTGGTGAGTAGGCTCCTCGGCCACCGCACCCCGGGGCCCGAGTCAGGGGCCTCTCGAGCGCTCGGGAAGAGGTTGGCCTTAGAGCCACCGAAGGCTTGCCTGTTGCCGAAGGGAGAGTCCTCTTGGTTGTGGCCCATTAGAGAGGCTGGGTCCTCCGCGTGGCTCTGGTGTCAGACGGAGCTTCCCCCCATCGCCCCTCTGTCCACCTGTGACAGGTTCCCCTGTCCTTTGCCAAGCTCATCACCCTGTCTGTGCCTCCAAGTATTGGGGTAAAGCCCAGAGGGGCTTCCACAATCTTCTCTTCCTGCTTCATGCTCACCACACTCCTTTGAGTCGCTGGGCAGGGAGGTGGGGACGTGGGCTACGGTTTTCTGGGCCATCTGGCCACCACGGTCAGTGACAATAGTGTTTTATGTCTCTCATCCCTCTCAAAAGGTACACTTTGAGATAACTGAAATTATATAAAAAAACCAAACAAGTTGCCCTTCCAACCAATCCCTTAAACACATGTGAATTTTTATTGCACGAGACTGGGATAAATGCCGGGACGTTGTGGGGATCACCCCGCCCCGCCCACCAGGTCTCGCTCACACCCTGTAGTTCTGCAGTGATGTTGGGTGCTCTGGGCTTCAGAGCCGGGTTGGCCGAGCAGGCCCACGGGCCGCCTGTGGCCCAGAGCCTCGTTCCACAAACAGCGTTGCGTTGGAACACAGCCACGCTCCCACGTTTGCGGGCTGTCCAAGGCTGCCGCCACGCTGGGAGGCAGAGTCGGGTTGTCCTGACAGAGACGGCATGGCCCGCAGATTCAACCCGGTTCCCTCTCTGAGCCGTTAGAGAAAAAGTTTGCTGATCCCTGCTTTAGAGTTCCAGGGCCACGTGTCGGCCCTGGTGGCTGGAGATGGGGTGAGAGTCCTGTGAGCGCTCCCACCTCAGGCTCTCCTCTGTCCTGTGCCGTCTTGGCCTCGGGTCTAGCTCACCAGTCCGTCCATGCTGGGCCCCCTCTGAAAATTCTACAGGAAATGCCACCCTTCACCGGCATGGGCCGCGTTGCTTCCACCTGGAGCCCCTCCTACTCTGAGGCTCTTCCCAGGGTTGTCCTTCCGGGAGGCTGCCGAGCTCGGGTCACTGCTTTGCGCGTTAGGTCTGTGAACCAAACTTCCTGTCCGCAATTAGTAGTGACTTAGGGCACAGGGTTCTCTAAATCCATTCCTGGTGCAATGGCTTTTACCTTCTGGGCCTGCTTTCCAGTAGGCGGGTGCTTAGGCGGCCCCCTGCGGGGTGTCAGCTGGGCCTGTGTTTATCTGCTCCCTGGCCTGGCACCAGGCACTCACCCTCTCGAAGCTTCCTCGTCTGTAAAATGGTGGTAAGGACACTGACTGTGAGGATTCTATTAAATCACGTGAGGAACTGTTACTGTGACTGACAGTGACCACGTAGACAAGTGACCGGGAAGTGTGGAAAATCGGTCTGCAGAACACGGACGGCCCCCGGGGTGGGAGCCTGGGAGGGGAGAACCCGGCTGCTGGCTCAGGAGTTCACTGCCCCCCTAGCCTCCCCCAGTTGTCCTTGGTTCTCAGAAACCCCTGCTTCCTGCAGGTTCACACTGTCCTGGGACCCCAATGCCACGCGCGTTGAGCACGTCCCTCCCCACTCATTCCGGCTGCTGGGAAGAAGCAGTTCCCCAAGGACTACTGGTGAGACGTAGCCACGTGAGCTGCGAGAGAGCGAACAGGAAATAGAGAACTCATTTTGTCTGCTTTGAAGTCCATAGTGTTACCTGTTCTGGTTCAAGTTTCGTTGTCTTGGCTATGAGATTGGGGGTGGGGGGGACCAGCAAAGACATGGGGACGGCGTCTTCAGAAAGAAGACAGACACAGGTCGCAGAGGCCGTTGGCCCCGGACAGCAGCAGGGTCATCACAGTGAGAGAAACAGAAGGAATGGTTAAATTAGCCTCCTCTCAAGGGTTAAGAGACTTGGAAGTATTGATGAGCTGCTCTTTGGAAGAGGAGGAATCAACACCAAAAGCAAGAGCAGGCTAGACAGAGCGAAGCCCCGGGCTCCACGTGGCTGCTGGTGAGGCCTGGTGCCCAGAAGCGGGGGCCCTGGTGCGTACCAGGGTGCGTCCAGACCCCTGGCCTCAACGGACCAGATGCTTTAGCCACTGGAAATGAATCAAGTGGATTGTGCCCTTTCCACAGGAAACCAGCACTCTCCAGCAGGCACGTGGGGAAGGGCGGGGTGAGTGGTAAGATAGAACTCAGGGTGCCTGGAGTCCTGCCTGGCTGGGAGCGAGCCGCCGGTGAGCTGGGCAGTGGCGTGGCGCTGGGAGAGGACCACAGTCTGAACACAGGTCCCGGCAGGCGCCCTGAGCAGGGAAGCACTTGCCCAGGCTCAGCTGAGGACAAATGGGCCACGAGCAGCAGCACAGCCCTCCGCAGCTCCCCTCCCACAGGCCGTGCTCCTTGCTGATTAGCCTGATGGGCCCTGTGCCTCTCACAGTCTGCAGGGAGACGCAACTTGCTCCCTGTCCAACGGGCGGGTCTGAGGGATGGACGGTCGGCCGTGCCTATGAGAAACAAGCCGTCTGCTGGCCACTTGCCGGCAGCCTTCGCAGCTGCTCTTCACAGTGAACTTGCAGGCTTTGAGCCAGGTTTTGCGTCCTGCATCTGGCCCCGCGGTGGGCCAGATCGGTGCCACGGGTGCTCTTGGGCATTGGACGGGCTCGACTGCCTTAGCAAACAAACGGAGGGTGATGCTGTTCGTGAGCTGTTGCTTCTCCGGTGCTTCTGTTCTCAGTCTCCGTGGTCTGGCTTTGCCAAGCCCCGGAAAGAAGCCGCTCTTCCTCTTCCGGCCGTGCCCCTGGTGGCTGAGCTGTCGTTTCTTCCCCACCTTCTCTGCGTGTCCTATTAACCCACTTCTGCTTCCTTTTCAGCGGCAGGATCCCGTATAAGGATATGTACAAATTAGTGCGGGTCATCTCGCCACCTCTGGGCCTGGGAGAGAACTGTCCCTACAGGGTGGCTTGCAAGGTTTGCCTCCCAGTCCCCAGCCGCCACCGGCGGTGGGATGCGCCCTGGAACCCCTCCTCTCCATTCCGCTCCGCCGCCACCACGCCACATGAGGGAGCCTTCATGTTGCTTTCCTTTAAAAGAGTTTAAAGAGGTCCCGGCCTCCCAGAACCAGCAGCTGTTAGAGTAGGAGGAAGGGCATCTTTGGAAGGGGAAAGGCAGGAAAAAGAACCAGTTAAGGGCTTAATAACAAAGGTCGATTTGACCTGTCACTTCCTCCACACGTGCACGCTCACGCGTGTGTGGCCATCCACGTTCTCTTCCCACTCCACCGTCACCCACAGATTTAACCAGAACGACCTCTCCCTCCCAGAGTGCAGACATCTTTTTTAAAAAGCAAGGAGTTCTGGTTTCCCCTCATTGGAGAGGGACACGCCTCCTGTTAGCAGAGTAGCACAATGGTCCCATATATGACGTCACCAGGTGTGATTGTGGTCACCCTACCCCCTGCCTGCCCTCCTGCTTCTGAGCGATTTGGCCAGAAGCTATTATAGAAGCTATAGGAAGGAGAAGAGGTGAGAAACCGTGAAGAATTAGGGCAAGAGGTGAGAGTAGGTAAAAGAAGATTGGGGGGTCTTTTGGGGGGTGGGGGGGTAGGAAGGCTGCAGTAGGGCACATTTCTTACCTTGGGGTCCTGACATATACTTTCAAGGGGGCCTAGGGGCTCTGCTGGTTTATGAGACCAAGGACGTATTTAGGGGCATCTAGGACTTCCCACCAACTCTGCTAGACCCTGGGAACTCTAAACATCCCAGTGGCTCTGCCAGGCCGTGTCCAAGGCCAAGTCTGCCAAGTAAAGAAGCGGCTCCCAGTGCTGTGGGGGAGTGCAGCCTCCCTGGGGCGGAGCACAGCCAGGCAGCTGGGAGAAGACTTAGGTGGGGGTCGGGGGGAGGTGCCAACCTTGGCAACGGGCAGGAGCTGGGTTGGGATGGTGTCGGAGTGATTCAATACACGGGAGGCTAACAGCTGCCTCTGCTGAGACTCTTTAAACTTGACCCTGATGAAACCTGCAGCAGCATGAGGGGAGAGCTGGGGAGGGCAGCATGGCATGCAAGGCGCTCCTCCTCCTCCTCCTCCTGGCTTTGTGTCTTCTGTCCCCAGCATGCCGTGGCGCCGGGACATGCCGGGGAGCACAGAGCCCTCTTCTGCACAGAGCCAGGTGGAAGCAACGGGCAACTCTGACAGCAGCCACAGCCCCCCACTCCCACGCCGCTGCCGGCTCCTGCTGCGCGCACGGCACGGGGGGTACCCGGTGTCCCGCCCATGTTCAGAGCAGGAGAGCAGCCCGACTTCCTGGCTGCACCTGGACATGCTAACCCATGGCTGGAGCGCCGTCTATCCGGTTTATACCGCTCGCACACAGCCCTGGGAGTAGTGACCATGCCCGTGTAGCACGGAGCATGGCGCCTGACCAGGGACGTAGGGTGATGAGGACCCGGAGTAGCAGGCAGCCAAGTCCCATGATGAGCTCCCACGGGGGGCCCAGGGGCCACAGGGGGCTGCTGGCGTTCCTGGGTCTGTGTGGGGCCGATATAAATCCGCACCAGGATGGAGTCGCCTGTACGATTTGCCTTGATTAACAGGTTTCCTATTCTTCTCCTGTTTGTCCGTTTTGTTTTGTTTTCCTCTCCTGTCCTCTGTATGATTTTGTCTGTTTTGTTTTGGCTCTTCCGGGAATGCCTGGTCTCCCCCTACTGTCTGCATCCTTCTCCCCACTCCCTTGCCCGGCCGCCTGCCCTACCGCCCCGCCCCCACTCGCCGCCCCTCCATGACCAGTGGCCGCATCCATTACACTGAGATGTATGAAATGCTGACTCTCATGTCACCACCGCTAGGCCTCGGCAAGAGATGTCCCTCCAAAGTGGCATATAAGGTAGACCACCCCTTCCTTTGTTCTGGGCTAGAGACCAACAGGAACTGGGATCCAGCCGTGGGGAGGCCAGATCGTGGGGAGGAAGCAGGGCTTGGGAGGTGGAGGAAGGAAGCAGGGCAAAGAGAAAGGATGAGACAGGAGGGCCAGGAAGGGCCGCGGAGGGGTGCCGTCCGTAAGTGCTACGGAGGGTGTTTGGCCATGCTCTTCACCGTGGGGTTGGTGAAGTGTTGTTCTGTGTTCAGCGGCAACTGTGTGGCTTCTCGTGAGTGGGCTTCTAGAGGAGGCAGAGTGGCGGCCTGCAGGGAACCCACAGCCAGCGGCTCTCTCAGTGTATAAGGGCTCCTTCGCCCAGATACGCTAAGGAAGTAATGCAGAAATTCCTCTAAATGCCATTCAGGAAGAAACTTTTTAAGAGGAAAACATGTTTAACAAGTTTCTTCCTCCATACATGGGAAGGAACTATACAGCATGGCTCCTTCTAAGCAGCAGGAAAAAAAGAGGAGCATGATTTCTGTCCCGTGGCGTAGGGTGAAGGGTGCAGCTCCTTGTCCCCGCCAGCCCAGCTGCCCGCTTCTCTGGGCAAGGGAAAGGGTGATGACGGGCCATGCGCATTCAGGGCAAGACTTCCCTCTTTGGCGGGGCTGAGCTGTGGGGCCCAGCCCTGGAGTTATGGGGGGACTCCCCCCGGTTTGCATAGAGCCGCGTTGTCCATTGGGGGTCACCTGCCATTCAGGTGCTCGTAGCTCTGAGCCCCAATTTGTTGGGTTTTATACTCCACAGTTAGTAGTAGTAGTTATTCATTCCCCTTTGGTGTCGAGCCTGACCCAGCAGTCTGGAGCCCTTCCCTTCACCCGGCAATGTTGCCGCCTCTCTAGAAGCTTAGGGAGGTGGGAGAGGGAACTCAGATACAAACGGGGAACTGGCTTGGCCCTCTAAGGGCCCATGTCTGGGGAACCACGTTAGGTGAGGAGTGCCAGCGGAGTTGTAGAGATGCTGCCTTGGGAAGAGACATGTCCTTCCCCGCTGGGCGGGTGGCTCTTCCAGGGGACCTTGCCCTGCTACTGCAAGCTGCATAGCTGCAGAGAGCATCTGACTGGGACGGGGGACCATTCAGGGCCCTCCTCCACCCCAGGACATGGCTCCCCATGCACAGACTAGGGGCTGGCCTCCTCTTTGCTCATGATGGCCACGTCCAAAGTACCAGGTGGTAGAGTGTGGCCCTGGGTTCTCTGAATTTCTGGGATGAAGCTTGGTGAAAGGGGTGTCAGGCCTGGAGGAAAGGTTGAAAGAATTCCCAAAGCAAGATACTCTCTGCGAAGTGGATTTGGCCATATCCGTTTGAACCCTCCCTTTGGGTGAGGGGAACACGGCCTGCCCACTCTGCTCCTGCCTTGGTCACCCTCCTCTCATGCTCTCCTCCCCGCTCCCCAACCGCTCGCCCCTGACCCTGCCTGCGCTCTCCCCTCTCCCATCCTGCTCCAGCTCATCCATTGGATCAGGGGGACTTCTGCATGTTCAGTCGTGTGCTGGCAAATTCCATCTCTAAAGACTCAAAAAGGGGGCATCAGGATGTGTCTTCCAAGTCAGATAAGCAAAGTCTCCCTGCTCACCATCTTTCCGACTGAGCTTTGGGGGTGTTCACGGGACAAGCAGAAATACGGAGCAGCCTTGAAACAGGGAATGGAGCCACCTCGCGGAGCTGACTCCGTTCCCTGAGCCACTTCTTCCAGAAATCACGGGCCGTCCCTATGAAAGGCCTTCTTAGGACCCTGGAGGAGTCCCCCAGAATGAGTAGTCCCCCTTCCTTTGGAATTTGGCGCCACGGTGGGGGGCGTGAAGCAGCAGCACCCAGCACCCAGGGAGAGCAGGGTGGGGAGAGGGCGGGATCCTTGCCCCTCTTTTTCGTCTGCACTTGACCTCTGCACACATCTTCCGCCTCACCAAGGTTTCTTTTGATGCGGTTCTCTCTCTCACAGAGGTTGGTCCTGATGAACATGCCTGTAGCCGAGGACATGACAGTCCACTTCACCTCCACCCTGATGGCTCTGATCCGCACAGCTCTGGACATCAAAATCGCCAAAGGTGAGCTTGGGAAGGCGAAGGGGATTCTGGGGCCACTCACACAGGGTGCGGCAGGACACAGGTGTGTGGACTTTCATCCCCCTAATGAAGCGCTGACCTGGACATCAAATATCAGGGTCCCGGTTTCAGCCCTGAGATTCAACTGCAACACGGGTCATTTGCCCTGGAAACAGGAATGGTTTGCTCATCTCTAAGGCCCCATTGAGCTTCAACAGTATGGGATCCCCGGTGTCTGGTACATAGTGGGCATTTGAGACACGTGTTTATTGAACAGATGAGTTTTTCATTTTGTCCTTTTTTCTCACGTGGCGACTACAATGTCTTGGAAGGCTTCTGTGGTGGGTGATGGCGTGGCTGTGCTTGGCTCCCCTGACCTGTAACTCAGTGACTCAGGACAGAAGAGGCTTCCTCCTTCCCAAGGGGCCTCCAGCCTTCCCGCTCCTGCCTCATTGGTGCGGCTCTGTTCGTTTTCCCCAGGCACGGACCTACTGAGTGCCTGGGAGGCTTTCCCAGGGGAGGAGGAGGCCGGTCCTGGTCTCAGGGACTCGGACCTGCGGCAGGATCTCCCCAAGTGACTGCGCACGGACGTCAGATTGCGTTCTGCCCCTGCTCCCTCGGCCCTTGTTACTCTGCGCCTGTGCCGTGGTGTAATCACTTACCTTATTGTAGGCGGTGCTGACAGGCAGCAGCTGGACTCGGAGCTGCAGAAGGAGACCCTGGCCATCTGGCCTCACCTGTCCCAGAAGATGCTCGATCTGCTTGTGCCCATGCCTAAAGGTATGGCATCTCCTCCTGGGTACACTTGTCACGGTGGGCCTGGCGGGGCCTTGGCAAGGCCACATATTTGATGGGACACAGAGTGATGGAGAGATAATGGGAACCTGTTCTATTCTCCTTAGGAAATGAAAATCCCTCACTTCTCAGGTCCCTTTGGTCATTATTAATTGAAAACATTTTCTCAAGTTGGGTCACTGTGGTTGCGGGTGAAAATTTTGGGTGGGTAGCTCTCTCCCTCCCCACGACACTGTGCAGCAGGTCCTCATGTGGTTGGGAGAGGGTGGTGTTATTAGGGAAATCCAGACCCATGGATGTAATGCTTGCTAATGTCCTCACGCTCTTCGGATGGCTGTGGGGGCTCCCTGAGGGCACACATGGGGACCTATTCACTTTGTGTCCTTAGGGCCTGGTGCACACCGGCTCCAGAGGGTGGAGAACAAAGCTTTAGCGTCCTCGCTCCCGCCCACCTGTCTCCCCCCTCATCTCTCCCTGCTGTACTTGTGTCTTTCAGCCTCTGACCTGACCGTGGGCAAAATCTATGCGGCAATGATGATCATGGACTACTATAAGCAGAGTAAGGTGAAGAAGCAGAGGCAGCAGCTGGAGGAGCAGGTGAAGGTCAACAACAGTAGGGTGGGCGGGCAGATCCTGAGTCACACGAGGGACAGGCCTGCACATCCCTGGGGCACTGTGCCCTGCAGGTGCTTAGCTACACAGGTGAGGGATGCAGGGCCCAGGAACTTCCTAACATCAGGGGATCAGAAATGCAGTGGGTCAAAGGTTTAAATGGTCAAGGTGTCAGCCATGCTCCCATTTTACCCAATCACATTGTACTTTCTCCCACAGTCACTTGAGCTCCTTTGTTCTAATGCAGAAAAACGCCCCCATGTTCCAGCGCATGGAGCCCTCGTCTCTGCCGCAAGAGATCATCGCCAATGCCAAAGCTCTGCCTTACCTGCAGCAAGAGCCAGTCACAGGCCTGTGAGTAAAGCCAGAGGGCCCACAGCCTCTTGTTTGTGTTCTGTCACTCATGCCAGTGTGCGGGCCTAGAAACATGGGCCAGGGATGGCCGGGAAGTGCAAACTCGGAGCTGAAGGGTCCTTTCTCGGCAGGCGAGCAGGCAGGGGTGAGGGAAGAGCAGGCCGAGCGCGGTTAGTTAGCACTGGGGCCAGTGCAGAGGAAGGAAGGGCACATGGTGGTAATTACTTTACAAATGAAGAAGCTGGGGATTAAGAGGTTAAATAGGTGGCCCAAGGCCATATGGCTAGTAGGAAGCTGAACAGGAATTAAGTCATTGATTTCTAACTCTAGAACCATCCCGCTACACTATATGCGAAATGAACAAAAGGAAGCTTAGATCAGGCCAAAAAAAATCCACTTTATTTTCTATATTGGCAGTGGAAACAAAACTCAAGGAATTTGCCGGTTCTTCTGAGGTGTGGGCCAGAGCCCCAACTCAGCCGTGAGTGACCTCCCATCTTCAGTAAGGATGAACGAGCAGCAGAGGGCACGGAGCCCCTCCCCCAGTGGAAATGAGCTTTCGTGATTGGGTTCACCCAGTCCTAGTTCCCAAGGAGCCCGTAATCACGGGGACAACCTCAGTAATTACCAGGGCAGTGAAATCCAGGGCTTGGGAGTGAGACCTCTGTCAGAATGCCATTTAAACTCTCACCATTAATTTCTTTCCGCCTGTGGCGTTAGGGACCTGTTTTGGGAAAGCATCATGTTCAGAGGTCACAGTCCAACACGTTTGGAAGAGGAGGCCCAGAGTCATGACCAAGGCTGTCGGTCATTTTAACAAACGTTTGATGTGATGAGGTAGCAGGCTGTAGATTCACCTGTTAGAGAAAACAAGTAGATGTTTCTCTTCGGTCTGTGCAGGAAGGAGGAGTGGGCCCACCTCACTGGAAGGACTGGTGTTTTTTGAGGGTTCTTGGCTTAGAAATGGAGGACACCCCCCCCCACGATTTGATCTGTTTTAGCCACAATTCGCTATGCAAAATACCTTCCATCAGAGGGTCACTCCAGCTTCTCTCTCATGTTTGATTCACTTCCATATCGATTTGATCAATATTTATGTGACCCAAAGCTGGCTTAGGCACTGGGGACGCAGGAGTCAACACAACCCCAGGCCCTGGGGACATGGATCTTGAAAAAGAAATTACAAGACTGATAGCAGTTAAGCAGGCCGAAGGGTAGGTTATTGTGATGCTGTGTAAAGAAGGGACGAGGTGTGCCTGGGAAGTAACATTTACCTGAGACTGGAAGGCAAGCTCTTCGAGAGAGCAAATGAGGCAAATTGAAGGAATCTAGAACTGTTAGGATGGTTGGGGCACAGTTCGTGGCGGGTGTTGGGCTTGGACGGCAACACAACACAGGGGCATTCCAAGCAGGATACAGAAGTTCAGTTTCCTCCGAGGACAATGGGGGTTTGATGCAGTAGAGTGACATGATCCGATTTGCACTCGACAGAGATCATTCGTGGATCCAGTGGACTGGGGGGAGCAATTCAAGAGGCAGGACACCACTTTGTAAGTGACTGCAGTTGTGCCAGTTATTAGTGACTGGGCTTGGACTCACGGGATAGGGAAGAGAAGAGCAGACTCGAGAGGTAACGGGTCGGCTTTGGTGACTGCCGGGCTCCGTGGAGGGAGGGCGGAGTCAAGGGTGACACTCAGGTTCCGGGGGACGTTGGTGCATTTCCTGGAGCGGGGACACGGCAGGCTGCTGCTTCAGGGCCTACCTGTGTTTCTAAAGCGTTACCTTGTTCACGTAGAGACTGCACAGAGGGCACAGGTGACTGTGACAGACAGGGCTCTTCTTCCCTCACGGAGCTTCCATCTGGTGGGAAACCAGACATGCAACAGAATGAGTGGGAAGAAGAGACTTATTTTCGGTGATTAACTACAGATCTGACCAGGAGAAATGAAAGCAGTCTGATCCACGTGCGTGTGAGAGGGAGAGCTGACCAGTTAAGGCAGGAGAGAGATTTCCTTAAGGAAGTGACTTTTGATCTGAGTTTTGCAGAATGAATTCAAAATAACACAGGTTTTTCAGGGGGCAGTTTTGAAGCAAAAAGAAGCCTGCCACGTTCAGTGAACTAAAAGAGAGTCCCCTGGGTCTGGAATGCAGGGAGCAAGGGCTAAAGCAAAGCAAGCGAAGGCTGGCGAGGTAAGAAGGACCAAGTCACGAGGGGGGGCCATGTTCAGGATTCTGGACTTGGAGCCGGACAGTGCGTTTGAAGCAGGAGACAAAGTATTCACCTCTGTGAGGTTGCTCAGTGATTCCAAGGGTCCTCTCTACCTACTGGGAATTCTGTATGGGCTAATTATGCATTTTCTGTAGGACAAAAGGGATCCATTTCTTGTAATAGCAGTGCTCGTCCTGTTCCCAGGGAAGACCATGAACATTAAAGCTGCTGGCTTAAGTTCCAGATTGCTCTGTAGCCATTGTGAAACTTCAGCTCACGCCCTTCCTGGGAACAGAGGGACGGGTTGGAGGGGTCTCTGCAGTTCAGCTCTTTCCCTATGATCCCAGCAGGTTGCACCTGTGGGTTATTTTGGAGTAACTGGCGATCCTTGCTCAGGCCCCAGATTTTCATTGGCGTCATTAACCATAGATGCAACTACGAAATGCTGGCCGCCCCTCTCCCTCTTCCCATGATCAGGAAGTTCATTCCTGAGCAGGTCAGAGGGTGCCTGTTGGCCAGTGAATGCCAGCAGCAGCCAGGTCTTTAGGGAACATTGGCTGACTCTCCTAACCAGCCCTGTGGATCCCATTGGCTGAGGGTGTCTGCAGGCACCGAACTGTGGCTTAGTAACAGGCATCCTGTGACAGCCCTCTGCCCAGAGAGGATCACCTCCTCACTACCACTTCTGAAACCACCCCCCCAGTTCATGAACCCACAGGCACCTCAGTGAGTGTTCATGGCATTGAATTGTTCAGTTGGCACAATAAAGCCATATTCTTACTGAGTGTGGAGGAAATTTTTTAAAAGACTGGGACTGCTTAATATTTAAACAAACTGTTCAGTGTTTGAAGTATGGCATTTTTCCGCCCAATGGGGAAACTGAGCAGAATCTGGTTTACCATCTAGCACTGGTCTTCCATATGGCTGAGTGTGACAGATGATGTCATTTGTCACAGATATGTTAGTCACCAGCCCAGTGATGAATGGTTCCACATGCAGGTTGAAAACAGCGCGTTCTTTTTAGTACAGTGTCTATTTTTGTTTTAAAATTCTTTCCATTCCAGGACCAGCTACCTGTAAGTTACATGCCAGCCAAGACCGAAGGGCGCTGGCCTGGCCGGGGACTGGTAGTGGCAGCAATGTCTGTTTCTCTCTCGTGCGCACATTACCTCTGCATTCGGCGTTGCTTTTCAGGAGCGGCCGGAGTGGGTGCCCTTCGATGAGTCCGCTCTCCCCGCAGGAAATATTCCAGCTGGCGTGCATGGACCCCGCCGACGACGGGCAGTTCCAGGAGCAGCAGTCCCTGGTGAGCAAACGAGTTACAGGACTGGAGAAGAGCCCCCTGGTTTCCCGATCCCTCCCACTCTGCTCCAGAGTCGATTCCATGGCCACCGTCGGCCAGGAAAGCTCTTCCTGATAGTGCAGCCAGTGACCGCGGGAGGTTCTTGCTGTCTCCCTTCCATCGCTGGGTTTCCTGTTCTGACAAATGCTTCCTCTTTAGGTTTTCCAATCCCAGGGGCCCCTTAGCTGTCGAAGGGATTTATACTGCTTCAGCCAAGCCCTCCTCATTTATGCCCTTGAGCATCATAAAGTCTTACCCTTGATGAGGAGTTTTAGGATGAGTCATTATAGCACCAGCTGGGCAGTCTGATGTAGACATGGATGGCTTGGGGGGCACAGGACGGCCTCCCCCCACCCCACCCCTGTAGGGATTCCCCCCTCAGACAACTTGGGGGTAGTGACCACTGTCCTCCAAACACACAGAAAAAACCTCTTCTGCTCTGTGTGGGTTCAGGCAGATTGACCTCATACAGTTGTGGCCAGAAGGGCCAAATACATTCTAAGAAATCCCTAAAAATCACTTCCCCGAGCCTAAAGTTTTACATTAGCATAAATGGTGAAATTCATGGGAAACCTGCTGAGTCCACTTTAAGCTTGAAGGAGAGAGGACAGACTAAACTTTGTTTTGCTAAATACATGACTAAACTGTGATTCCCAAAGACGACAGATGTTACGCACCATTAGTCTTCATTCCGGAGCCATCGCGCTCCCTCCCGAGCTTAGAATGCAAGCCAAGTGTTCACTGGCCTGGAGGAAAAAAAGACAAAAGCCAACATTCGCAAAAGTCCAGATTGACAGCTTCTACTGAGTTTCCTGGCACTTGATTATAATTCCCCCGTGTTCTTCTCTCCCGACTCCTCCCACTGCTGCTGTGCACCCCGGAGCCACCTCGGGTGGAAGGGATGATGTGGGCTTGTTTGCGTGCGGGGTGCATGTCTGGTGGAATGGGTGCCTGCCAGAGGGGGCAAAACATTTCAGTAGCTCACTCACATGGGTCACTCCTCTCCTGTAACTGCCGGGTGAAGGGATTATGGGATTGTGTGCGGCTGTGTCAGGGAGACAGCCAGACCGCACACTCGCACGTGGGGGTGCCTGAGGGCATCCCGTGTAAGGCGGGTTGGAACCCATGGAGGAATTCTGAGGAACTGAGCACCGAGGCCCAGGGACTAATTGGTGCAGATAGCGTGGTTCCTAAAAAAGGGCCTCCTGGCATTTGAAGGCTTGCCCGGCGGGGACAGGTCTCAGTAACGTGTCCTTTCCTTCGCAGGGAGGCTGCCTGATCGTACCATCATTCCCGTGGGTTCCCCAGGGCGGGACGGTAGTGCAGGACTAGTCGGATTTGTGTTCATCTTGTTGTCAGTACCGGTGTCTGTGATTCAGGTGTCAGCCTGTGCTACACACTCACCGCCGTGTGCTCCTCCTGCCCATCCCTCGGGGCCCTGCTCTGCGTCCTGAGGTGTGGCCGTGACCTGTGTGCCTGTAAGGAATGTGTATGCATGTGTGTCTTGCCCCACCTCTGACACACGTAGATTCAGCGTTGTTACTGCACGTGTTTTGAGTCAGACTTGTGCACTCTGTGAAGCACACACTGCAAACACCAACTTCCCCAGGTGCACGCGTCGCGGGTCCTGGGAGCCACTCAGCCCAGCAGTCCTGGAGGCTGGCTTTCAGCAGCACCCCACTCTTACCCCCGTGTCCTTAGAACATCATTTCCTAAAATATAAGACAGCTTTTCCTCTGGTGTAATCTCCAGATGTTAGAGATACTCCTGGGTCTCTTTGTTTGGTGGCCCATATGAAATTTCCAACGCTCTTCAGGGAGGGACACAAGCTCTCTCTGTACAGCGTGCAAAGAAGCTTGCCAAACCAACCTTCTTTGACCGGGAAGATAACAGGGTTGGACAGGGTGTTAGGATATTTACTCCAACCTCCTAGTGCTTGGAGTGGTGCGGTGAGTACGACAGCCACTGCCCACATGTGGAGACCAAGGCCCCCAGCGTGGCAGGTCCAACTGAGGTGGGCTGCCCGTGGAGGGCAGATGTCTCATTTCTTACACTGATTACACGTTGATATGAAACTACTAAAAAGTTTCTTCCTTTTAAGGGTAGTTACCAGGAAATTGAAAATTACATAAGCGGTGTGCATTGCATCCCCATCGTGCTGTGCCGGGCTAGCGTGGCCCTGGCAGATGGCCGCCCACCGGTGTTTTCATTGATCCCAGTGGTGAGAAAACTCTTTGCTCACAGGATCATGTATCTTAAGGTTTGAGAAAATGCATTTGACAGCAGATAATGCTCACTTTCCTTAGAATACTGGTTTTTATAGAATTGGTAAATGGCTTCTTGAGGTTAAAAGAATAAACCCAACACTACCAACTCTCAAAAAGTACACTTCACATAACTAAGAAGCCTTATGACCCATAATGTTGACAGAACTATGAAATGTGAAGCACTGTTTCGTGATAAGAGTTTACCCCTCAATCCCAGTTAGAGCGTTCTGTTTGAGACATCTGGTACATCACAGATCTGCACATAGACACACACACATAACAGACCTTCAAGATGCAAATCTCTTTTCCAAAAGCCATTCTTGGTATGGAGGAGGCAGAATCATCCACTGGAGACAAAAAGCGATGGGCTGGAACCAAGTCCCACAAGCGTGGCTGTGTTTATTTCCAGGAGCCAGAGTTTAGTGAATTAAAAAGCGTGCAGCCCTCTAACCATGGCATCTACCTTCCTCCGGACACCCAGGAGCATGCGGGATCTGGGAGGGCATCCTCTTTGCCACGCCTGACTGTGGATCCCCAGGTAAAAAGCAACCACCTACCCTGTGCAGTGGCATCCCGGGCTGGATTGCATTGGTGGGTTATGAGAAAACATCTGATGTTTTCAGGTGAGCCTTGGACTTGCCCCCGCCCCTTCCCTATGAGCAACACCTGGCTCACAGGCCGCCTCCTCGAAGCCTGCTCCCTGCACGGTGTGCTCTCTGTGGAGCCCCGAGCAGACCAGCCTAGCCAGCAAGGTGGCATAATTCCACCCAGATGGGCTCGACATCCTCAAGCCTCAACCAGCCTTGCAAGAAGTATTTCCCAGGATTCCCCCCATGCATTTCTTCCTTTTTTCCTTTCCTGGCTCCTTGAGCACATACGTAGGCAGCTACTTACACACACAGCTCGCTGTCTGGACTGTCTGTCCGAACCAGTGCTGGCCGCGCCTCATTTCTTTGTCTGTTTTCCTGGCTTTTTTTTTTTTTGTCTGTCTGTCTTACATTAAGTTTTGACAGAGACAAGACGTTTCCATGGATGTGTTTTTGACATCTGTAAAATCAAAATGCCCAAGTTTGAGATGGGGCTGGGGGGAGGCGGATGGTGGAGAACAAAGCGTTCTTGGGGGATGCTCAGTTTCACGGTTCTGCGAGCTCTGGTGCCATGGGGTGGGCCTTCCCCGGTGGAGGCAGAAGCCAAGGGGCTACTTCCACGGCGTGGACATTTTGACAGTTGCCTCACACATGTCATAGTGGCTCAAGGTTCCCTGCGGGTTCTGGCTAAGTCCCCATGGTAGGTGGCTCTGGGGAAGCCCTTGCAGTACACTCAGCTGCTGGCATTCTTGAGCATAAAGAGAAGACCCCGGGCCAGTCCCAGGGACCTGAAGACCTACTAACATAGAGACACTTCCTGCAGCAGCCTCCTCCAGCTGAGGTCTGAGTCAGGGGGATTCCAGGGTGGTTCTGCAGTGATCTCAGCCCCACTTGTTTCCTTTAGACCTGTTCAGTGACTAATCCCTCCCTCGTGTCCCTCCGCGGGCTCCTATTTGCAGGTGGTAACAGACCCCAGTTCCATGAGACGGTCCTTTTCCACCATCCGGGACAAGCGCTCAAACTCCTCTTGGTTGGAGGAATTCTCCATGGAGCGAAGCAGCGAAAACACTTACAAGTCCCGGCGCCGGAGCTACCACTCCTCCCTGCGGCTGTCGGCCCATCGCCTGAACTCGGACTCGGGTGAGGAGGTCTGCCGTGTGGGCCATCCATGCCCCGGCCCGATGGGCTGAAAATCTCTGGAAGAGAATTCAGATGAGGCTTGAGGGCGGTGAAGGAAGGGAGAGTGCTCCTTACCAAGGGGGTCCCATATCTGACTCACCCCGAAACAGGCCCCTGAACGTGCTTGCTTCTAGAGTAGGGCTCTAGGCATCATGACAGTCAAGAGTCCCAGAACCCCCAGGCCCCTTGGGGAGGTCCGAGAGCCCCGGGGCAGGGGCCAGGCCCCCACCACCAACCACTGCAAACCAGACAGTGCTCCCTGGAAAGGTTTGGTGTAGTGGAGGGGTTTTGTTTTTGTTTTTTTTGCTAGATGAAGAAACAGATTTCAAACGCAGTGACTTTCCCATATCACAGGGCCAGTAAGTGGCAGAAGTGAGGACTAAAGTCCTTTGCCTTTGGTCCCAGCGTTCTTAGCCTGGCATTATATCTGCAATGCCATTATTTAGTTTATAGCAACTTCTTCATTCCCTTCTATGGGCACCGTCTTCCCCCTAAAAGTTACACACCCACGATCGGGACGTGGAGAATTCCTGGGCCACGTTCTTCGCAGATTCTCAACTGTGCCTTCACGTAAACAGGAGCAGAAGAGACTCGAGTGCAGCCTTTGACACATGCATGTCTTCCAGGGACGACTTGTGCACTCACCTCGTCACACCGGGGAATCCTGGGGCTCTTCTTTTCTGTCTCCCTCAAACCACCTGCTGCTGGGGCTGGAGAAGCCAGGGTCTTCAGGGGCCCGGCCCCAGGCTCCAAGACTCTCTTTTCGATGGCCAGTGGAGCTGCGTTGTGACTGCCGCTCTCTGTCATCTCTCGTAGGCCACAAGTCCGACACGCACCGCTCAGGAGGCAGAGAGCGGGGCCGATCGAAAGAGCGAAAGCACCTTCTCTCCCCCGACGTCTCCCGCTGCAACTCCGAGGAGCGAGGGACCCAGGCCGACTGGGAGTCCCCAGAGCGACGTCAGTCCCGGTCTCCCAGTGAGGGCAGGTCGCAGACCCCTAACAGACAGGTGAGCCTCTGTGCAAAGACAGGAAAGGGTGGTGGTTAATGGTAGGTGCAAAAGGGGAGCAGCCACACAGACCTCAGGCTGACAGGAAACCGCACCTGCTGTGCACAGAGCTTAGCTGCCTCATGCTGGGCACCCTGATACAAAGTCACAGAAAACCAGACAGCCACCTGAGGCAGCAGTGCCTAGAGGTCATTCCACTCTGGTCCTCAGGTACAAAGTCATGCCAAGTAAGTTTACAAATGTCTCAGCCAAATAATGTCCCCGGATCAGGCCCACAAGCCTTGGTGGGAATGGTGACTCACCTCTCAGCACAGGCTTCCTAAGTCGGATGGATTCAAGTTCATTTCCCTAGCTGCCAGCCATCCCAAAGGAAGACACCCTCTCTCCTTCCAGCCTGTGCCTCAGAAATAACTCCCAGAAAACACTGCTGGGCCCTGCATTCCTCCCCATAGTCCTCAGAGCCCAGGCGGGAGACCTGCTCAGCCACAGGGAGAGAGGCTGCCGGGACTTGGAAACTGAGGCCATGGGGGAGTTGACTTCTAGAGAGTAGCTTTCAAGTTTTTAGTACAGAATCACCCCCAGCCCCTCAAGCATTCGGTTTCATTAGTGAGGCTGGCTGGAAGGGGAAAGCCAGACATCTGCACTTGGAAGGACCTTTCCCCAGGAGAGTTGGAGCAGGTGGCCCAGGTCACACACACCTTGAGAAAACTGTCCTGGAGGTCCGTTTCCTACACCTGGGCTCAGGGCCCCTTGGGAATAGCTGAGCAGGTGAAGGCAGGCCTGAACCAGCAGGTGGGGGTCTGGGTGCAGAAGCCAGGTGGCCCTCAGCGAGCCAGCAGACACGTGGAGACAGTGAGGGGAGGGAGGGCTGGCACTCCCCTCAGACCCGCTCCCAGACGTGCGAGCACCTTCTCAGCACTTTTCAGTGCTGCTTTCAATGGGCCATGTGTTTACCTACAGGGTGGGGCAAAAGTAGGCACCCAGTCATCTGGGTGGAAAATTAAACTGTTTTGCATACTCTCAGCTGTACACCTGCTTTTGCCCACCCCTGTGTGTGGAGCCTCCGGAGCCTTTGTCCCCTGGACCAGCAGCACCTGGGGGTCTGTTAGAAATGCACAGTCTCAGGCCAGATTTTCTGAGCCAGTACCTGCAGTTTAATGAGACTCCCCGGAAATCGCAGCTGTAATAAAAGTGGGCTTGCCCTGGTCTAAGTGGTACTCACTTCTCCTTCTCCTATAACCCCCGTGTTCTTGGGGGGTGACTTACAGCAGAGGGGACACCAGCTCAGACTCCCGAGGCTGGCTGTGGGGTCGGGCCCAGCCCCGTCTTACGTGCCGTGTCTCTCCTGCTGTGCAGGGCACGGGTTCCTTGAGTGAGAGCTCCATCCCATCCATGTCCGACACCAGCACCCCAAGACGAAGTCGTCGGCAGCTCCCCCCTGTCCCTCCAAAGCCTCGGCCGCTCCTTTCCTACAGCTCCCTGATTCGACATACAGGGAGCACCTCTCCCCCCGCGGAGGGCAGTGAGGGCGGCTCCCCGCTGACCTCCCAAGTTCTGGAGAGCGATGACGCCGGCCTGCCCGAGGCCTCCAGGTCCCGGCACGCTTCGCACGGCCACCCCTCCCCGCAGCGCTACATCTCCGAGCCCTACCTGGCCCTGCACGAAGACTCCCACGCCTCGGACTGTGGCGAGGAGGAGACACTCACGTTTGAAGCGGCCGTGGCCACCAGCCTGGGCCGTGCCAATACCATCGGCTCAGCCCCACCCCTGCGACACAGCTGGCAGATGCCCAACGGGCACTATCGGCGGCGGAGGCGTGGAGGACCGGGGCCAGGCACGGTGTGTGCAGCTGTGGGTGACCTCCTGAGTGACACGGAAGAGGACGACAAGTGCTAGAGGCTGCTCCCCCCTCCGATGCATGCTCCCTCACACGGAGAAAACCAAGACCGAGTTGGGAAGCCAGTGTGGCCCGGGGGGAGGAAAAGGGAAGGACAGCGTGTGTTATCCGAGAAGGGGGACAGGGCAGAAGGCAAACCAGCCGCACCCACCAAATTGCTTTACTTCCCTTTGCAAGATGGGCACTGCCATAGTTCTGCCTCTTTGCTGGGGAGAGAGGACACAGGAACACGGAGGGCCATTCCCATGGGGAAGGGGCCCCCAGGACAGCTTTGCTTGCACTGCCCCTTCCGCTCTTTTAAAAGCCAGGGAGGACTCGCGCTGGCCTGTGTCTACGCCCATTGCCCTGCGAGGCCTGGAAGCCTTTCTGACCCTTAACTGGGGGGTTGCGGAGATGCTCCGAGGGGAGTCCCCTCCCTCCTTCACCAGCTCCCCAGCCAGCACCAATGCCACCGGGGCAGCTGCCTCTCAGGGGTCAACCTGTGGCTTGCTTCCCCAAAGCAGCTCAGACTGAGTTCAGAAGCATCAGATGCCAAGGAGAGGGGCAGGGAGGGAGGAAACGCTGGCATGGAGGGGTCAGGGTGCTGTGGCGGCCACAGCAGCAGCCAGGGCTAGTCTGGATGAGCAAAGCCATAGCCCAGCCGCCCACATCATGCAGGGGAGTCTCGGCGAAGGGAAGAGTTGGCGGTGCTGGTGGGCCAGGCCTGTCCCCCACAGCGGTGCTTCAGGTGTCTGGCTGAGGTCCCCCAGGGCCCAGCAGCACTGGGAAGGGTGTTTTAAGAGTCTGTACAACCCCTGTGGCCAGGGCACCCGCTGATGAGACTGGGGTCCAGTCTAGGGCTGGTCTCGGGAGTCCGGCAGGCAGGGGCAGTGTGGCAGCAGCGGGACTCAGGCAGAGTCTGCTTTCCAACCAGAACAGGAGTCCTCAAGGACAGGGACCAGCACGTCCCGCCTGGAAGGCAGCGGGCCTCTGTCTGGCAGCAGGGCCCAGCCTTCCCTGCCGCTCCCCCAGGAGGAGAACATACCTAGTGGGGACTTCGATGGAGGCCGGGAAGGCCGACACACCCAAACAGAAGCTTCAAGAGGAGTTGGAGTTTGCTGAGGACCTCCTGTGGGGGGAGCCCTCCATCCTGAGCTTCTGCAGCTGGTTTGTGGCTGAGGGTCTGTGTGCCTGGAGCCTTCAGAGGGGATTAGCAAATATACCTCAGTGAGACGGGGCTGGTCCTTCTGGTGAAGCAGGCTCTAATGGGGCCTTGTTACACACCACGCGACAAGCCTGGGGCCCTGCCTGTTGAGGGGCCAGAACCACACTCTGCCCCCTCCCTGAGTAAGAGCTGAGCAGAGGACAGCCTCAGGTTATCCTTCCCAACCCTCGAAACTCAGAAGTATTGAAAAAGGGAGCCCTTACTTGGCAAATCGGTGTAATTGCCCATTTGGCGGAACACATCGCTGTGCTGTCTGTATCAGGTGGAAATGTACTGTCCCCTTAAGTCCCTCTGCAGTCCCCCAGCACCATCCCAGTGGGTGGAGGGGTCCCCTTTCCCAGCCAGCAGCAGGCAGGGCCTGCCACACCGAAGCCTCCACGGGACAAGGCAGTGGCCCCTGGACCACGAACACTGTGGGTGAGTGTGCACCCCCCCCCCCGCCCCGCAGGCCTGCTTCCTAGGGAGGAGCAGCCAGTGACTGTTAATTTTCCTAGAAGGAGCCTCTGTTTTGTTTGCTTTTTTTTTTTTTTTTTTTTGGTTGAAATAGAAATAAGGCATTGCCACAGCAGCTCTAAAAAGCCAACTTCAACCCCGTGGCTGCAGATTCATTTATCATGGCCCTACAGTCTTATCCAGATATTAATGGGGCCTCATGATCCATGGTCTGCCCCCAAACCAAAGCAACCCCAGGGCAGGGGAACCACTGAGGCAGAGAGAGAGGCCCACCCTTCTCAGACCCTCTTCCTCTCCCCCTCCACCCGTGGGCTCAGGAGTAGCTGGGAAGGTGAGCAGGACAATAACGATGCCCCGATCCTAACAGGCATGGTTGTTATGTAAGACTCTGCCACTGGCCTTGGATGATTCGAAAGGTCTCATCCGCACCAAAGTGTTGCTAGGGGCAGCTGTTGTGTGCACAAAATTGCTTTCTTCCCCCTGGGAAATGCAGCTTTCGCTAGGCCAGGGCTACAGCAAGCTGGCATTCTAAGCCCGAGAGTCTGTCGCATTGTTTGGAGAGGGAATTGAAGCCGTTTGAACAGGAGGGAAAACGTGAGCGGGCAGAGCAATGAGTGGAGATGAAATGTGCCTGCCAGCAGCATTACACACACTCAATTTACTGGGTCAGGAAGCCTTCCTGGCCCCCTGAACACCTTAAACTCACACACACACACAAATGTGTGCGCCGGCACAAGAGCCCGAGAGCCCCGAACGAAGTGGCAGCGTGCACTGCAGGTGCGGCCCCCCAACCACCCACCTGCATTTTTCTAGTTTCAATGAACTTACAGCCTCTTCTATTCAACTTCCCCTGAGCAAGAAATCAGGTTTCTCATCCCTTGGCCTGCATTTACCCTTTGATGCCAGAAAATAAAGGACTTTTCTGCTAAGTCATGGAACTCATTATCATGATCATCTTCTGCTAGTTTCCTTCTGCCTTGGAATGAACATGAACTCCAACCTTCCCCCAAATAATCAGCCATGATAATCCAAGACACCAGATGCCGCCTCTTCGCTTCCCCTCAAAGAGGCTCCGTCGGATGGCGGCCACTGTGAATTACACAGCTCGACGCGTTCGGCACGGGTCCCTCCCAAAGAATCCTTAGCTGTAAGTCCAGTTTCCCTCTCTCATATTAGTCCTTAGTGTCTCCTCCAAACCAGAAAGAAAAAGATGGGGGTGGGGGACCCCAGCCTCCCAGAAGGCCTACAAACATGGGGGTGGGCTCTAGGCTCCAGATCACAGTTCCCTGTTAGCCACAGTCAGGAAACCTTTATCTATACCATAAAGGGGGGTGGGGGGTGGCCTGTTCATTCTTCTAGCGGAAGAATCCGTTTCTACTCTGGCTTCCCCACTCCATGTCCCTGTGGGGTGCTGAGATCATTGAGAACATTTCTCTGAAGCTGAACTCCAGACGTTCTGGATTCTTCCCTCCCTCGACTCTGAAGACTCCACATTCCACACCTCTGCCGGTACCCCCCTTCCCTACACGCACCCACCCCACAGACAGCCAGTGGGATGCACCTTGGAGCCCGCTGTTCTCCGTCCTAGCCTTGTTTTGCTGCATGCTAACACCGACTCAGCTCCTAAGAGGGCTAATCCGCCCGGTCCAAGCTTACTTGCTGACCTGCCTGCCTCCGCTCTCCTCCTCACTGCGATTGGACAATGCTTTATCTTCACAAAAGACGGTCGGGACTCCCCAGGGGATGCAGAATGGGGTGAGGTGCTGGACCGTGGGGGTGCGTGGGGAGTGTGTGTGCGATGTCCGCCAGACTCGGTGAAAGCCCACTGCAAGGAAATCGGGCCTCTGGCCACAGTGGAACAAAATTTAATAATTTGGTTTTTTACAGAACGTTCTCAATTTTTCATTACATCCTGTTTGTAAAGCCTGCTCTGGATGTCTCATTTTTTTTTTTTTTTTGGACAGAGTATTTCTTTAGTGGGTTGAGCCAGGGATAAGTTGAGAGAGTTTTCAATTTCTCAGCCTACCTATAATATATTACGTATAAATATTATAAGGTTGCATAGAAAATAAAGGCAAGGGGAACGGAGTAGAGAGTCCACCTACCTCACAGGGATTTTGCGAGACTTGAAGGTTAAGGCACTTTGCTATTTCATCACCTTTACATGTGTTGTGTTTTGAGACCCCCAAAGGTCTGGCACCCATGTGCGTGAAGAGTTGTGGTGAGGAGAGAAATTAGCACGTCGTGGGGTGGGCTCTTCCACGGTGGCTTCTCACCCTACTGTGTGTCCTTCCCTCCCAGACTCCAACACATTGAGGGCTTTATGATGCAGGAGAGAGGGGCAGAGTGGGCCCCTTGCAAATGGCCGGTCAGGGCATAACTGTTTACTCCAGACAGGAGCCCCACAGAGAATCAGAGAATCGGGTCCAGGTTTAGACGACAACGTATCCACACGGAGACCCATCTGAATGGAAGCCAAATGACACAAACTCAGGAATTACAACCTAATGGGTCCGTGAAGAGATCCAAGGGGATTCCACACGAATCAGCAGCTTTGTGCAGTCTTTGTTTGCTCCTCTGAGCTGCCTGGTACCTCACAGCCAGGTCTCACCCACAGAGCAGCAGCCCCGGCTTCTCCGCCACTGCAGTCATGGGCTCTGTCTCGGACTGCGGGGCGATGCGGCAGCTGTCAGCAGCTGCTGCTCTCCCAGCCTGGGGACCGAGGACTAGGAACACAAACAACTGTCTTCGGTTTCTCTGACCACCTTTTTCTTCCCTTGAACCCTTTCTGCTCCGATCCTCTGTGGCTTGTGTGCCCCAGTGACATCACTCTAAGCCAAAGACAACCGATTCCTAGATGATCCCAACTACCCGAAGGGCCTGGAGAGCTTCTCCTAACAAAACTCAGGCCAGGCAGTTGAGAAGGGAGCGTGGGACTCCCAGGAGAGGCTAGAACGGCACTGCCAGGCAGGCTGGGCGCCCCCGGGGCGCCTCTCCTTTTCTAGTCTGGCGGTCTGCTCCCTTTCCCGTGCTGAACGCAGGGATCTTGACCTTCTAAATGCAAACACAGGTTTTATGCTAAGCCATGCTACTATGTAAATATATTATTGTAGTCTGAATCCTTATTCCTGGGAGTTTGAAGGAGTTGAGTAGAGCAGGTAAAAGGAGGTAAGGGGGGGTTATGTTTACTTTTCTCTGGTTGGGTTTTCGGTAACAGATCTGTTCTGGGACAGCCAAGGCCGCCCGTGCTCTGCAGTGTCTCAGAACCAGCTTCGCTCTAGGAAGTCACTTTGGTCACATGCAGTGATGTGAGGTGACAGCCGAGGCCACACGGTGCCGGCTCCTGGCTCTCCCTGGCTTGCCTCTGGTCTTCCTCCTTCTCTGCCTGCTTTCCTGCCCCTGTCTCTCTGCCTCTTCTCCTTCTAGGGCCTTAACATATGATCTATGTCCATGAAAAAACGGCCTCAAAACTTCAGTGAAAGCCAAGGAAATAATAGAATGAATACAGATTTTTTTTTCCAGGACATTTTTAACCCCTAAATACAAAATTTATGTCTTGAGAAGATCAAACAGGTTAAAAACAGTGTAGTAATGGAGTAAATGAAAATTACTGGGGGTGGAAAAATAAGTTCTATTTCAGCCCCTACAGAAGCTAGCATCCGCGACCAGGGTGTCCCTCCTCCTGTCCCCTCTTGCTGCTATCGGGGCCACCGAAACGCTGATGCCCACCTAGCTCACGGCTGCGTCGAGTGTTCGTAAGTCAGTAACTCATCAGTTACAGCTCTTTATCTCCACGCATCAATTTGGGGGGGGAACCCTGAAACTATGTTTCATGGAACCCGAATCCAGGATTTGCTCTAACGTCACCCTCCATTCTGCCTGTTTTCCCTTCTTCATCTTTGTAGCTTTCTAACAAGAACAACTACCCAGACTTTTTTTTCTGAGTGCAGGAAGGAAGTGGAGTTTTCACGCTCGGAGCTTCCCGCCATCTTCTCTTGGTGGCCATGTACACCAGCCCCGGATCCAAAACCCGCAAGCCCGCACTCGGGCTCTCCGGCAAGACCTCTCCTCCCCCTCAGTGGAGGGGGTCCGAATAAGTCTCCCCCCACCCCGCCAGCTTGTCAGAGATAGCAACCGATTCCTCTGTGCTCTGGAACCGGACCCCAGAATTTGTACCAGGGAGTGCCGCTCCTTCTCGGTTCACTCAAAAAAGGGCCCCCAAATAAATGAAAGCAGCCTAAAGCAGACAAAACTGCCAAATCCGACCTTGGCAGTGACTCCATTCCCCTTCCAGTGCTCTGACTCCCTACAGTGAGGGTCCGCACTGCTTTGGCACCACTGCTCAAAGCCAGTCTGTTAGAAATCTTTACAAAGGATGAGCAGGAAAAACATACTCCAGATTTTCAAAGTGCCATTAATCCATTTTTTTAAATGAAGGTAACATGAAGTGAGGGCTAAAACAACGTAACCTAACTGCCACTTAAAGTATACAGTCGTCCTGATCTTTGTTACATTTGCTATGGAGCTGTACAACACTAAGCAGATTCCAGCAGATTTAGTAGAAACATAGGTATTGAATTTTAATGGCTCCCAACAGGGCTACACTCTCAGCCTACAGGCCAGACTTCAATCAGTGTTTTTCTATCCTGGTGTTTTGTGGCCGAGCCAAAATTTCTACAAAGCCACCCTAAGTGCTGCAGAGGCACCTCCCTCTTGGTGACATTAGAGAGCAGTCCAACTCCACTCAAACTGAATCCAAGACCTGGAACTCGCCCAGAAGCACAGAGGCAGGAGGAAAACCTCATGCACCAAGTGTGTGTGGTGTTTCGTAGCCGGGACAGCCAGGGCGGAGACTAGGAAAACAAACAGCCTGCAGAACAGAGACGGCACTGGGTGCAAAATGCCAGCTGGTCCCACGACCAGGAGACTTCAGGGTGTGCGG